TAAATGAAAAAAGCAAGAAGAGTCTATACATCATGCTGCCGTTTGTGAAAGAAGGGGGAGATACAAATATATAAGTGGATGTGTATATGCATATATATATATATATACACGTACACATATGTACATTTATAAATATACATGTACATATATTTTCAGAAAGAAACAATGGAAGGATAATGAAAAAGCTCTAGAAGCAGCAATGATCCAATAGCAATGAGTTCATCTAACACCCAGGTTGTAGTTTTTGTTAAACATCATTTCCAACTAAAACCAGGAATCTTTAGGGAAATGACTAGTTCCAAGTCTGGGACAGAAAATGTATAAGATTAACCTGGGATATCTTATTGTGCCAGAATGTAAAAAAAAAAAAATCTATCAAAGACTACTGAGTAGTATCAAGAAGACATAACAGCCAACTTAAAGGCACATCCACTGGCCTATGATGGGACAATGTGAGCATCAAAAAGAAGAATGAGCTAAGGAATTCACTAAAAAACCATTAGAACTAATAAATGAGTTCCGCAAGGTTGCAGGATATACAAAAGACCAGAACTAGATGGTGCCCGGCTACCACTACCAACTGCTCTGACTGGGATCACAACAGAGGGTCCCGGATAGAGCGGGAGAAAAATGTAGAACAAAAAATCAAATTCACAAAAAAGACCAGACTTACTGGTCTGACAGAGACTGGAGGAACTCCTGAGACTATGTCCTTAAGACACCCTTCTGAGCTGGAACTGAAGCCATTCTCAGAGATCACCTTTCAGCCAAACAAAAGAGAGGCCCATAAGGTAAACAATAACACCCAAGAGGAAGGGGTTCCTTAGAACAATCAATTATATGAGATCAAAAGGACAACATTTGCCCAAAAGGCAGGAAGGGGTAGAAAATCCAGACAAAAGAAATGGGGAACCCAGGGCAGAAATGGGGAGAGTGCAGAGTGCTAACACATTGAAGGGAATGCAACCAATGTCATGGAACACTTATCATACAAACTATCAAGTGGGAAGCTAATTTGCTCTGTAAACTTTCATCTAAAGCACAATAAAAAATTTAAAAAAAAAAACATGCAAACAAACACATAGTGTTCTATTACATCTTCCTCTATATTTTGCTGCTTAAGAAGCAGAGCAGGAATAGAAGAAGGCTTGGATTTGTAATTTGAATGGGTTCCCCAAGTGCACTTGTTATATAGGATTTATTGTTGGCAACTTGGAATGAATACAGAACAGTATTAAGAAGCAGTTTTCAGGTCTTCCTGCTCTGAGTTCAACCTTATTACTTCCCTGAACCAGGCTGGTACCTTGTGAATAAATATGACAATATGATGGGGGCGGGGGTGGAGAAAACTATAGTAATCGAGACATATAGATATGTGGCACTGGTATAAGAAAAGACATATAGACCAATGGAATAGAATTGAGAGTCCAGAAATAAACTCTTACATTTACTGTTAATTAATTATTGACAAGAATGTCAAGACAATTCAATGGGGAAAAAATGGCCTCTTCAACAAATTGTGCTGGAATAACTAGATATCTACATGCAAAGGAATAAAGTTGTACCCTTCCCTCATACCATATACAAAAACTACCTCAAAATACAACAAAGACCTGAGTGTAAGAGCTAGAACTATAAAACTATAAGAAGAAAATATAGGAATACATCTTCATGACGTAGGAATAGGCATTGGTTTCTTAGCTATGACACCAAAAGCATAAGCAACAAAAGAAAAAAGATCAATAACAACAAAAAATAAAATAAATTAAAAAGAAAAAAGAGATAAAATGGACTTCATCAAAAAAAGGTGATAGTTGAAGGGATGCTTCAAGGACACCATCAAGAAAGTGAAAAGACAATCCATAGGACATGTTATGGATTGAACTGTGTCACTAAAAAACATGTGTTGTAAATCCTAACTTCTATGCCTGTGGTTATAATCCCATTGGGAATGGGCTGTCTTTGTTATGTTAACAGACAGGATTAGTATAGTGTGTATTTTGAGTCAATCTCTTTTGAGATATAAAAGAGATTAAGTGGAAGCCAGCAAAGAGAGGCGGGGGAAGAGAGGTGGCAAGCCACATGAAAACTGCCCAAGAGCAGAAGTTCAGGAGAGACAAGGACCTTCCTCCAGATCCTGCAGAGAGAAAGCCCTCCCCTAGAGCTGGCAACCTGAATTCGGACTTCTAGCCTCCTGAACTGTGAGAAAATAAATTTTGGTTTGTTAAAGCCACCCACTAGTGTCATTTCTGTTATAGCAGCACTGGATAACCAAGATAGGATGGGAGAAAATATCTGCAAATCATATATCTGATAACCAAAAAAAAAACAAACACAAACCTGCTTGCCATCGAGTCAATTCTGACTCATAGCGACCCTATAGGACACAGTAGAACTGCCCCATAGGGTTTCCAAGGAGAGGTTGGTGGATTTGAACTGCCAACCTTTTGGTTTAGCAGCTAAGCTCTTAACCACTGCACCACCAAGACTCCTGTATCTGATAGGGAACTTGTATATATAATATTTAAGGAACTCTTACAACTCAATAATAAAAAAACATATAACCCAATTTTAAAATGGGCAAAGGATTTGAATAGACATTTCTCCAAGAAAGATATACAAAGGACTAGTAAGCACAAGAAAAGATGCTCCATATCATTAGTCATTAAGAGATACAAATTAAAACCACAATGAGATACCACTTCACACCCTCTAGGATGGCTGGAATCAAAAAGAGAGATAACACATTTTGGCAAGGATGTGGAGAAATCAGAACTCTCATACATTGCTAGTTAGAATGGAAAATGGTGCATCCACTTTGGCAAACAGTCTGGAAGTTCCTCAAAAGCTTAAACATAGAGCTACCATAAAAAAAAAAAAGTTGTTGAGTCGATTCCAACTCACAGCGACACTGTAGGACACAGTAGAACTGTCCCATATGGTTTCCAAGAAGCAGCTGGTGGATTCGAATTGCCGACCTTTTGGTCCGCGGAACTAGACTCACTGATGCAGGGAGCAAGAGAACTGAGCACCTTCAGGCAGGAGGCTTGCTAGCAGAGTAGGGTGCCTCTGGGCACTTGTCAGCAGAGCTAGGCTTACCGACCCACGGAACTGGAGAGCTGGGTGCCTTTGGGCCAAGGCTTACTGGTGGAGTGGGGTGCCCCCAGGCACTTATTAGCAGAGCTAAAGAGGTTTGTAACACTTGCCCAAGCAGGGCAGAGGCCAGGTGAGGGGCTGAAGACAAGAGAGAGCCCTGCCTGTGGGCATGGCTGAGAAAAAAATGTCCAGACTAAAGAACTGTATCCTGAGTTGTTCCCGATTCTGAATTGTAATCTGTTACTTCTCTCATGAACCCCATGATTTTCAGTATTGTCTGTGAGTTCTGTGTGGTCACTGGAATGAATTATTGAACCCAGCAGAGAAGTAGAGAGTGCCATGGGAGGGGCAGCTGGTGTCAGAATTGGTAAAAAGGTTGAAGGGTGGAGGTATGTTTGACCTCCACCTCATAAGGATCAGCATTGGGCTGATGCTGTTGGTGATTCTCTCTCCCCCTCGTGAAGTTAAAGGAGGTCAGATGCCCATGCCACCATATTTACAAGAAGTGATAGCTAAAGGGTACAGGGTTTCTTTTTTGAGGTTATGAAATATTCTAAAATTAACCATGGTAATGGTTGCACTATATTATATCTCAATAAAGCTCTTAAAAAAATTTCAGTTGAAAGCAACAAGGGAAAAAAAAAAAAAAAACAGCAAAAAGCCAAACATCCAGTTAGAAAATGGGCAAAAGACATGAAGAAATATTCCACTGAAGAGGACATACAGATGGCAAATAAGCCCACGAAAAGTTGTTCAACATTATTAGCCATTAGGGAAATGCAAATTAAGGTCACAATGAGATATCACTACACACCTATCAAATGGCTAAAGTAAAATAAAGTTAACGCCAAGTGCTGGTGAAGATGTGGACAAACTAGATCATTCATACATTGCTGGTGGTAATATAAAATACTATAACTACTCTCAAAAAGTTTGGCAGTCTTTGTTTTTTTTTTTAAATTAAATATGCAACTACCATACCACCTAGCAATTTCCCTTCGGGGTATTTATCCTAGAGAAATGAAGACTTGTGTTCACACAAAAACCTGTACACCAGTGTTTACAGTGGCTTTACTCATAATAACCCCAAACTGGAAACAACCCAGATGTTCTTCAACAGGTGAATGTTTAAGCAAACTGTGCTACATCCATACCATGGAATACCACTCAGCAATTAAAAGAAACCAACTAGTGATACATGCAACAACCTGGATGAATCTCCAGAGAGTTATGCTGAGTGAAAAATGCCATTGTGAAAACATTAGATACTGTATGGCTCCATTTATGTAACATTCTTGAATTGACACTGTAGAAAGAGAACAGATGAGTGATCGGGGTTAGGAGGGGAGGAGGGCAGGATGGAAGTGTGTGTGGCTATACAAGGGCACCTTGAGGGATCCGCGTGGTGACGGAAATGTGATGGAATATTCTGTATCTTGACTGTATCCATGTCAATATTCTGGTTGTGACAGTGTACTATAATTTTGCAAAGTGTTATCACTGGGAGAAACTGAGTACACCTGCTCCTCACTTACTGACTACCTTGTTATCTGACACTTCGCATTTACAACAATAGTGCAGTAAGAAATCTACTATTTGACTTATTTGTGCATTAGCCATGTATGTCTGGCAGTAACGAGGTACGAGGCAAGACTAACACTGGCTGCAGTGGCATCACTAGGATTGGTGTCATTTCCCCAATAGACCTCCTCCCTTACTAGCCCCAGCCCACGGGGGGAAGTGCCCTGGGCTTCCAGGACTCAGCTCCCAGTGGCTCATGCTGGCTCCAGGGAATAGGGAGACCACACAGGAACGGACCCTGGACCCCAGGTCAGCACTCCTATGCAGTCCCACCCTGGGCGTGTGCCCGCTGCTATCAGGTCCCTCCAGTGTGGCCAACCCACCTGGATCCATGGAGCTGTGCTGTAGCACCAGCCCCTGTGCTCCAACTAGCTCTGGATCTGGCATGCTGGAGAGCAGAGGGAGGAGGAAATTGAGGGAGTAGAAGGAAGGCCGGAGAGGCTGCAGGGGAGGAGTTGGGAGCAAGGGAAGAGAAAGAGGGGAAGAGTGAAAAGGACGAGCGGGTTGGAGCAGACCTGTCACCTGCCAGCCCCGAGATGCAAGGAAGAGCATGAGGGGGCACCCTGCATCCCCACATCCCAGTCTTCCCCCATTTTCTCATTGCCCATTTTCTAATAACGACCTGGTCTTTGGAAGCTAACATGTTGGTAAGTGAGGAGTGGGTATAAAGGGTACATGGGATCTCTGTAATATTTCTTATAATTGCATGTGAATCTATAATTACTGCAACATAAAAAGTTTATGTTAAAACGAAATAGTACCTACAGGAAAAGCACAACACTCTTAAACGTTCGACATAAATTCCAAAGCAACAGGCAGCTAAATAAACACAGGACTGAATGCCTTTCCCTGCTCTCTCTGCCTGACAAAACTGTACATACGTATCCTTCAAGGTTCAACTCAAATGCCACTTACTCAGGGATGTCTTCCTCAACTTGCAGGCATCCTGAATCACTCCATTTCATGTGATCCCATTGTGACACCATGTTATGGAATGGCAGTTCTCAAATTTTAATGAGCATCAGCATCACTTGGAGCAGCTCGTTAAAACATAGAATTCTGACCCCTGCCAATATTTAGATTAAGAGATTCTGATTCTGGAGTGAGCCACGAACTATATTTCTGGTACTCTCCCTGATGATGCTGATGTTGCTGGTTTGTGGACTGTGAGAACTGTGACAGTTCACTGTACCTGCGGCTGTCTCCCCCGAGACTGATGACTCAAAAAGGCATCTCACTCAGCACGTAGTCAGCACTGAATAAATGTCTTATTCTTCTTAACTTCTTTTTATCAAGTGAATTTAAAGATCTTACCTTCTTCTGTTTCTTTTTATCAGCCTCTTCCTGTAAGTCTTGAAGGGCCCTTTGCACGAGCTTCATGTTCAAGTCCTGCTCCTCTCTGCATTCCTGCTGAATATGCTCTATCTTCTCTTGGAGGGCTTTTTGCAAAACGGTCCTAATTTCCTGCTTTGCCTTCTGTTTCTTTAGCTTCTCCTTTTCATTCTCAAGTTTAATCTGTGCATTATCACTTGCCTAAGGTAGAACAATAACGAAGATAATGCCTCAGTACAGGTAGATAAAACAAGTAGGTTAATGAGTTTCATTTAAGAGATGAGAATAAAGAGTTTCTTGGAAACACATCCACCAACACACAATCTGGATTTAGAGGGGCTATTAAAACAGACCAATAAAACCTGCCTTTTCATTGCTAAGTCAGCAATAAGGCTTTGTGAAAATTCCTCTATTGCTTTTGTGTGTGTGTGATTATAAAGTGACAAATATTTGAAGAGTTCAGAAACTGCAGACAAGCATAAAGAGTGATAACTGTTTATCCTAGTCCCCATCACCCACCACCACTCTCAACACTTTGGGGTACTGGCCTCCCAGACTTAGTCTTCTATGCACTTCTACACATCTAGATTTGGATACGTTATTAAGCAGGACTAAGAGTTTAAAAATGGAAATGTTCACTTAAGCTACATATACAAAATTAAATTTGAAGCATTTTTTTTTCTTTAAAAATATTCTGCCACCCCTTCCATTTTCTTCTTTTTGACCCTCCTGGCTGGCTAAGTTCCTTGGCCAACCAGGCAGTTTTAACTGGGGCACCAGTGCTCTTGGCCTTTGGCATCGTGAGTTTGGTAGAAAATCTGGGTATGGTGTAAACGTGGGCATCGGTCCTCCTACCAGAGGCGGCTGAGCCCTCTCGGGAGGCACAGTACTTGCCCAGCAGCTGGAATAGATGACTTAGCAATAGCAAGGATGGGACATGCTTCCCTATATGACTTGATTTAACTGAGACTCAGAAGAGCCACGATTACTGCTCTGTGAGAGGGAAGTTATATGCTAGACTTTTCCATTAATGCCGGGGGCAGTAAATCTTCATTGAATTGTGAGGATCAAATGAGATCATATAAGTGAAAGGGCTCTGCAGTATCTAAGGAAAAGCAACGGGCATCAAACATGAAAGCCACTGGGACAGCAGACTGCATTCTTTTAAAAAAGGTGACTACACCAGGAGGAAGCAATTAGCCAAATCCAGAGTATGAAACAGGTGGGGGTGGGATGGAGGAGAACTGTTCAAGATTAAAAGAGACTTAGAAGTAGTTGATCATATGTCTTAGTTTGTCCAGGACACTTCTGATTTTATACCTGTTGTGCTGACATCAGGAGTCCTGGTGGTGCAGTGGTTAAAGCGCTAGGCTGCTAGCTGAAAGGATGGCTGTTTGAACTCACCAGCCGCTCCATGGGGGAAAGATGTGGCAGTCCGCTTCCATACAGATTTCCAAAACCAAAAAAAAAAGCAACCCAACCCACTGCCGTCGAGTCAATTCTGACTCATAGTGACCCTATACGACAGAATAGAAATGCCCCATAGTTTCCAAGGCTGTAAATCTTTTAGGGAAGCAGACTGCCGCATCTTTGTCCCACAGATTGACTGGTGGGTTCGAACTGACAATCTTTTGGTTAGCAGTCGAGCACTTTGACCACTGCGCCACCAGAGTTCCTTCTTTTATGAATAAACCAAAAAAGAACAGTTAAGCACTTAGCTGCAAACCAAAAGGTTGGTGGTTGGAACCCACCCATTGGCTCTGCAGGAGAAAGACCTGGCAATCTGCTCCTGTAAACATGACAGCCTAGCTTAGGGGTCAGTGAGTTTATGTTAATGGGGGACAAACAACTCAGAAAAGGAGGGTGAGAATGGTTGCACAACTCGAAGAGTGTACTCGATGTGACTAATTGTACATGTAGAAATTGTTGAATTGGTGTATGTTCTGCTGTGTATATTCTCAACACAACAACAAAAAAATTTTAAAAAATATTACACCCTAGAAAACCCTATGAGGCAGTTCTGCTCTGTTACATGAGGTTGCTATGAGTCAAAAATTGACTTGATGGCACCTAATAACTTCCTAAAAGAGACTTGTAAGACATAATACCATGTTTCGATCCTGATCTGAATATAAAATAATTTAGACAATGATGGAAATGTGATGCTGATTTTAGATGATAAAAAAAACTACTATTAATTTTTTTTAGGTCTAACAATTGCATTAAGAAAATGCCCTTATTTACGTTGTTACTGAGATGCATACTTGAGATGTATTTTAGGGGGAAATGACATCATGTCTGGGATTTGTTTTAAAACGTAAAAACAGGGAGTAGAGACAGCAGAAAAAAATATGGCAGTCAGGCTACAAACTATGTCCATGAGTGCTGACCCCATGATCCCATAACAAATGTTTGAAAGGCCCACCACTAGGCGCCGCTCCTCTTCCTTCAGCTGCTGCGCCGCCCGCTGTTGCGCCTGGATGGCGGTGATCTGGGCATTCAACCCCAGGCGCGTGTCCTCTACCAGCTCTCTCTGCCTCCTCGCTGCTTGGGCTTCTCGCTGCTCCTTGGCCAACCGATCTTCCTCCCAGAGCTTTGAGAACATCTGCTCTTCCACCAGCTTCTGCCTCTTCCTCTCCTCATTAAATGCTATCTGTGCTTTCCGCTCTTCACACACCTTCTTCTGGTGGCTACCGAACAATTCAACACGGAGCTCTTCGCAGCGTTCCCTGGAAAGGGAATTTAAATTAATTAAAGGGGGAAAAAAAGGGCAAACCCCAGCCTTTCATGAGGCACTGCTCTATTTAGGCACATATCTGCACAGTCACACGCTGAAATGAGAAAAATGAAAGACCTGGAATGTGCACCATCTGAGCACAGGAAACATCTGAGGGAGCAACAAGTAGGCAGACACCATGATGTCACACACAAGACACAGGCAAGGAAGTCAGGTTCAGCAGGTTTTGAATCCTAGTTTTGCCATTTCCTGTGTGACCCTGGAACAAAATCTCAACCTATCTGAGCCTGTTTCCTTGTCTGTAAAATAACAGTCTTCCAAGGTTCTGGTAGGGATCAGAGATAATGTACGTAAATACCTGGCAGATAATAGAGGTTCAATAAATGGTAATTATTATTATTACTAAGGATCCCTAGTGATGCAGTGGTTAAGCTCCTGACTGCTAACTGAAAGGTCAGAGGTTCGAACCCACCAGAGGCTCCTCAGGAGAAAGATGTGGCAGTCTGCTTCCATAAAGATTACAGCCTTGAAAACCCTATGGGGCAGTTCTACTCTGTCCTACAGGGTTCGTATGAGTTGGAATTGACTTGATGGCAACAGGTTTTTTTGTTTTTTATTACTATATCATATACATTATGAAATGTTGCAAAAATAAAAATTTAAAAGTGAGGAGATAAAAAAAAAAACATCAAATATTTTCTTCCTACTGCTCCCATAAAGATTACAGCCTAGCAAACCCTATGTGGCAGTTCTGCTCTGTCACATGGAGTCACTATGAGTCAAAATTGACTCGATGGCACCTAATAATTTTCTTCCTATACCCTAATGATTCACCTATTCACTCAACCTTGGGAACTCCTGATTCAGGGATGCTCACTTTTACCAGAAAGCATAAGAAGCCATGAAAAGGTTGGTGAATTTTTTGTGAGAAAATAAAATTAGGTGTTACTCTATCTATAGGCCTATTCTAATGATAATAATCATTGATAAGGGGAAAATTTTATATTTGTGAGAGATTTACAGCTTATAAGATACTTTCACATATAAAATCTTATTTGATCCTTACAAGTGCCATATAACTCGGATGGAGCAGCAGGTCTTCTCCTCCTTTTAGGATTAAAGCAAATGAGACTCAGGGAGCCTAAGTGTCTTCCCAAGCCACACAGCTAGTAGAGGTAACGTTAGCAACAGTTAGTGAGTGCTTATTATCTGCCAGGCTCTATTCTGAGCACTTTACATGTATGAACACTAGTGATCTTCATAACAACCAATGTTGCAAAGAATATTACTGCAAGTTCATTTTTATTATGATTATCCCCAGTTTGCTGTGGTTGTCGGGTGCCACTGACTCGATCTTACAGATGAGGAAATGGAGGCACAGAACATCTATGCATCTTACCTAAGGTCACATAAGCTCAGATGTAGTGCTGGGACTCAAGCCCCAGCAGTCTGGCTCTGGAGTTAGGTTCTTGGATACTTCGTGATATCATCTCTGCCAGTAATTGACAGAGACCAGACTACCTTCAAGTGTTCTGACTACACATGCTAGAGCATTTGTTTAATGAAAACACTCTAAAACAAAACAAAAAAATGCCTACATTAAACTGGGGTCCAGTCATTAATTGTATATAAATACAGGGCATTTAACAGGAAATGTCAAATATACCAAAAGCATGGTCAATGAAACAAAAAAACTGATTCATTGGACTTCATCAAAATGAAAATCTTTTGATCTGTGAAAGACCCTGTTAAGGGGATAAAAAGACAAGCTAACGACTGGGAGAGAAAACCACATATCTGACAAAGGACTTATATCCAGAATATATGAAGAACTCTCAAAACTCAATAGCTATAGAACAGACAGCCTAACCAGAAAATGGGCAAAACACACAAAGAGTTCACCATAGAAGATAGACATATGGCAAATAAGCACATGAAAGGATGTTCCAATCACCAGCTGTTAGGGAAATACCAATGAAGACCATGATGAGATATCATTACACACCTATTAGAACAGCTAAAATAAAAAAAAAAAATAGTGACAATATCAAATGTCGGTGAGGATGAGGAGAAACTGGGTCTCTCATACATCGCTGGTAGGAATATAAAATGGTCCAGCTACTCTGGAAAACAGTTTGGCAGTTTCTTAAAAAACTAAACATAAACCAAACCAAACCCATTGCCATCGAAATTCAGACTCATAGTGACCCTATAGGACAGAGAAGAACTGCCCCATAGGGTTTCTAAGGCTGTAATCTTTACAGACGCAGACTGCCACATCTTTCTCCCCAGGAGTGGCTGTGGGTTCAAACCACCAACCTCTCAGTTAGCAGCTGTGCGCTTAACCACTGTGCCACCAAGGCTCCTAAAACACACACTTAGCATATTGTAATGTATGCTTATAATGTAATGATCACAAGTGATCACGAATTACATATGTATGAAACATGTAATGTGTGACTTAGACATTTAGGTTAAGTTTTAAAACAGACAAGTAAACTTCTCTGTCATTTTGTATAAATTCTACTATTACAACCAGCTACCTCATTGTAAAATAGCTGCTTTGCTCTAATAAGGTGTGACATAGCCTTTAGTTTATCTATGTTAAGACACTCCAAATATGCACTCCTGATTATGGACCTATGACACAGGTTACTCTGATACCATGTGAGTCAGGCATCCCCACAGACCCTTATCAGGCAAGACCAGAGGGACTGGTCACATAAAACCCCAGCCTTTCTCCCCTTCATGGAGAGCAAGTCACAGGCAACTAAACTCCACACTGGTCTGTCTCTTGAGTTCTCCAAAGACCGCATGCAACCGGAGGCTCTGCCAGAGACAGCCTTGCCTCACCGCCACCAACCTTGAACCCTAGCATTGAGGGACCTCTGTCAAGGACTCACCGCTGCTAAAGCTTGCATCCCGAGACCGCTTGTTAAAGGTAAACACATGAAGGCTGAAGATTTGGACTTTAAATATTGGACTAATATTTGACTCTGATTCTCTAGTCTCTAATGTCCTGAGGTCTTGCCTGTGTGCTGTGCCGGGACAACCTTGCAATAAACTGAGTTTATGCATGATGAACCTGAGCATTTCTCTGCTTATTTTAAAATACAATCCTCACAGGGCACATATATCCCAGCAACAGCATGTGGCAATTATCTCCGAGAAATGAAACCTTATGTTCACACAAAAACCTCTACCTAAATGTTCGTATCAGATTTCTTTATAATAACCAAAAATTAGAAACAAACAACTAAAATGTCCTTCAATAATGGTTTAAACAAACTGTAGCATATCCACAACATGGACTACTACTCAGCAATAAAAAGGAACAAACTACTGATACACACAGCTTGGACAGACCTCAAGGGCATTACACTGAGTAAAAAAAAGCCAATCTCAAAATATCACCTACTCTATGATTCCATTTATATAAAATTCTTCAAAAGACCAAATTATGGAGATAGATAAGAGATTAATGGTTGCCAGGAGTTAGGAATAATGGAGTGAGAGTGATGAGTGAGACTAGAAAGGGAGAGCACAAGGGAGATCTTTGTGGTAATGCAATAGTTCTGTATCTTGATCACAAGGGTGGTTACACAAATCTATCAAGACAAAAAAAAAAAAAAAAAACTTACTGTCGAGTCAATTCTAATTCCTGGCCACCCCCTATGTTACAGAGTAGTGTTTTCTTGGCTGTAACCTTTATAGAAGCAGATCGCCAAGCTGGGTGGGTAGGCTTGAACTGCCAACCTTTAGGTTAGAGCACAAACTGTTTGTGCCACCTGGGGACCTACCACAGATCTACACACGTGATAAAATGGCATAGACTATATACACACTCTGTACCACTATCAATCTCCTTGTTTTGAAACTGTACTATAGTTGTGTAAGACATAACCATTGGGGGAACCTGGGCGAAGGGTACTATCTTTGAAACTTCCTGTGAATCTACAGTTATTTCAAAATTTAAAAAAAATTTACTGGTTGTCTTTTCTTATTAGTTTCATTTCATAATTAATACTGAAAATGATTTTTGTCGTTTACAGAAAACTTGGAGCACTAAAAATGTTCCACTTCCTTTTTCAAACGTCAAATATTTAAGATATCTGACAAATATTCCAGGTATGCCACTGAATATACCTAATAAAAGAAATGCATATGTCCACCAAAGGACATGTACAATAACGTTCATAGCAGCTATATTTGTGAGAGTCCCAAACTGGAAATAACCGAAATGCCCATCACCTGGAGAATAGAAAAATAAGTTGTGGTCTATTCACACAAAACGGAATACAAAAAGAAGTAAAAGGAGGAGGAGAAGAAGGAGGAGGAAGACGAGAAGAAGTATGAAGAAGAGGTAGAGAAATTTCGTTTTGCTTTAATATGTATTGAAGTCTCAACTATACTTTCAGCAATGGAGTGTGATACAGCATCTGTCTTAGTTATCAAGTGTTGCAATAACAGAAATACCAAAAGTGGGTGGCTTTAACAAACAGAAATTTATTTTGTTACAGTTTAGGAGGCTAGAAGTCTGAACTCAGGGCGCCAGCTCTGGAGGAAGGCTTTCTCTCTCTGTCAGCTTTGGGGGAAGGTCCTTGTTCCTTGGCTCCTGGGTGATCTTCATGTGGCATGGCATCTATTTTCTGCCAACTCTGCTTGCTTCTCTGTCCTAATCTGCTCTTTTTACATCTAAAAGGCAACTGGCTTAAAACACAGCCCATAGTGATATAGCCTCTTAACATAACAAAGAAAACCCATTCCCAAATGGGATTATAACCACAAGTACAGGGGTTACAATTTACAACACATACTGTTAGGGGACAGCACCTGTAGTCACAAATTCACCCTGGCCCTTCACTCTCATACTGAATTACTCAGAGCTATGTTTGCTGCACTGTATTAAAGAGTTGGCAGTGTTGCATTAAAAACACTGAAAACAATTTTCAGATGAATCACATTACTATAGAATATAACCATTTCTTCAAAAATTCTAAGAGTTATGTAAAATGCTGTGTGAAATCTGTACAATGTTACCAGATTCATAAATATTTTAAGAGCACAAACCACTAAGGAACAATTCTTTATTTTTTTTTACTGTGTTGAGAAACATTTACTAGGGAGTGGAAAATACATGAATGGTCCATTGCGATTGACTTTGCTTGTGTCCTCTTTGCCCCTCACAGCATCTTCTCCCCCATGAGCCAGTGGGGATTGCCCACCTGGAAAATCCAAGTCTAACCCTATCTTGGCCACTACAAGCCTGGAGACCTTAGCCAAGTTAATATCTGTGGAACTCACTTAACCTATCTGCAAGATGAGGAGAGTGGAAAATCCCTTTTGGCTCTATGGCATTAATACTCTGCTATCTTCACTGTCCTCCTCCAGCAGCTCCCCAAACCCTGAAACTTCCCATTCCCTCCAGTTATAGCAGTCTAAATTTACTCTGTTAGCAGCTGCAGCTGCAACTTATATCCACGGCTCACGGCAATAGCTTATTTCTTCTCCTTCCGGTCTCTATTATGAGGGTTCACGGGAGTCTAGATGATTAATGGGGCCAGAAGTGGTTCAGTGGCTGTCTTGACTTCCATGCAGGAAACCCAGGTTCGATTCCCAGCCAGTGTACCTCAAGCACAGCCACCACCCATCTGTCAGTGCAGACTTGTGAGTTACTATGATGCCACACAGGTTTCAATGGAGCTTCCAGACCAAGATGGACTAAACTAAACTGTGAGAAAATAAATTTCTGTTCATAAAAGCCACCCACTTACGGTATTTCTGTTATAACAGCACTAGATAACTAAGACAATGATGTAACACTATAGAGGATCATTTCAGAGGATCACCCTTGGGTCCTTCAATAAAAATCTTTCCTCTGTAAGGGTTGAAATCATGGCATAGACTCAGGTATCCCAGGATGGAACAATCAAGATGAACAGCTGATGGAGGCAACCACAGGACTGCACTGAGCACACTGAAGACCAGGGATCTGAAATCTGAGGATCACCATGGGCCTTGGTCAAAAAATGGATCAGGATCTAGGTGATCAGATCCCAAGGATAAGAATCCTAGGCAAAGATAAAGAACAGGGAACCAAGCAAGCACAAGTTCAGCAGGTATAGGTAGGGAACACAGCAGTAGGAGAGGAGAGCCCAATTCTACAAAGACTCTATAGAACATAGTTTTAAAAGAACTTCCTGCCAAGAGCGAGGATGAGGCCAACACCCAGAATTCAGTAACAGAATCTCACTTGGTACTTTCATTCTAATTGGGAGGCAAGCACAGAACACTAGATAGAGTACGACAAATGCAGTATCTGCATTATTCAGTAACATGTATGTCACTGAATACTAAGACGTAAAGGTACAACTACTATGCACGCCCTCTTAAGGCTATAATTTACTGTAAATTAGCATTCCTAATTATTTTTTAATACACCAACTCCATGTCAGACATTATGAGTGTTTTTCTGACTCCATTACCTGAATTGCTGATCTAGCTTTTCAGCCACAAAAATCTGTTTCTCTTTTTCTTTCTTCTCTTTTAATAATCTGGCTTTCTCTCTCATTCTATCTTTTTTTACCTCAATTGTTTCTTCTTTCGATTGCATTTCAGTAAAATACTCATTTTCTTCTGATGCTAAAAGTTCACGTAGCCTGAAGAAAAAAAAGACAAAAAAAAAAGAAATTAAAACTGTGATGCCATGTGCCCCATTTTACTAACTGATCTTTATTTTGTTATAGGCAATCTCAGCTATGTCTAATCATAAATTTTGTAAGAAAAAAAGATGCCTTTTAGTCATACATTAAATAAGACTAGTTGCCATTTAAAGCAATGAAGTGCCTGATCTGAGTCATATTTTATTCGATCATGTATAGATAAGGTGAAATGTATATATTCAACAATAGCAAAATGAACAGATTTTAATTAAAATAACAAAATATTAAAAAAAAATACTTCTGTTTTCCATCAAAATACCAGTTATCACCAGTAAAAATATTAAAAAGCAATAGCTATTGATTTTGTACGGGGCATTGTTGGTTCAGTGGTAGAATTCTTGCCTTCCATGTGGGAGATGTGGGTTTGACTCCTGGCCAAAGTACCTCAAACAGAGCTACCACCCATCTGTCAGTGGAGGCTTACGTATTGCTGTGATACTGAACAGGTTTCAGTGGAGCTTACAGACTAAGATGGAGTAGGTAGAAAGGCCTGGCAATCTACTTCTGAAGATCAGCCAATGAAAACCTAATGGATCACAATGGTCCAATCCACAGCTGATCATAGCAGTGGCGCAGGACTAGGCAGCATTTCATTCCATTGTGCATGGGGTCATCATGAGTTGGGGGCTGACTTGATGACAGCTAACAACGTTGATCTGGTAGGAATACAAATATCTCAGTCATGATCCTTACTATAAAAATTCACTTGATTTTTGATTGGTTTATCTCAACTTGTGGTTTTTAGGAATGTTTCACAGTCTGGGTCATCAGGTTTTGAGCCTTACTTATTCCGTCTTTCTTCAGTGTTGATGATAAACCCTTGCATGGAATCCTTGATTCTTGCCTGCACAAGGCTGTCCAAAAACTTGCGGTCATTGTGTTGGTCCCACTCAACTTTCAAGCGATTTCGCTCATTTGTCTTAATGGAAGTCAAAATAGCTTGACGCTTCTCATGGTTATGCTGGATTCTCTCCAGATGTCGCTCTACCCCTTGGCCTTTGGGAGGCTTGGCTCTCTGAAAATAAAGAATTACCAAAACCACAAATCAATTATACATTTTCAATTAATCATGACCGCCACCAATACTCATACTAAGTAAAATGGGGTATGTGAAACTAATACATCCTGCTACAACTGAAAACAGCTTAAATACCTAAGGAGTCGCTTGTTTGATTCTCTGAGCCTATATCTAACGTGTCAGCAAAAGAGTCTTGGATACTTCTAAATTGCTGTTTGAGTCAAAGTTCACAGAATTATAAAGTTAGAGAGTTGAATGGGACTCTAGAGATTATCTACTAAAGACCAGAGACATTAAATGATTTGCCCAAAGTTCTTCAAAAAGTTAGGGCAGAACTGGACAGAACAAGAATTAAGAGGTCTTGCCTCACAGAGACTGGAGAAACCCCGAGAGTATGGCCCCTGGACATCCTTTTAGCTCAGGAATGAAGTCACTCCTGAGGTTCACACTTCAGCCAAAGATTAGACAGCCCCATAAAACAAAATGAGACTAATGGGGCACAACAGTTCAGGAACAAGGACTAGAAGGCAGGAGGGGACAGGAAAGCTGGTAATAGGGAACCCAAGGCTGAGAAGGGACAGCGTTGACATGTCGTGGGGTTAACCATTGTCATAAAACAATATGTGTACCAACTGTTTAATGAGAAACTATCTGTTCTGTAAACCTTCATCTAAAGAACAATTAAAAAAAAAAAAAAAAAGAAAGAAAGAATTAGAGGTCTTCTAGTTCCTGACCTTGTTCTTGTCACTCTCTATCTCACACTGTTTCTCAAGATAATAGCCACCAACAAAATACTTTCAAAGAAGACACTACCTAAGCATACAGTTTGTGTGTGTGTGTGTGTGTGTGTGTATATATATATACATATATATATATATATAAAAAGAGGAGTCCCTGAGTGGCACAAACAGTTAAGAACTTGACTAACAGATGTAAGGTTGGCAGTTTGAACTACCCAGCAGCGCCTTGGGAGACAGGCCTGGTGATCGGCTTCGGAAAGGTCACAGCCTTGAAAACTCTATGGAGCAGTTCTACTCTGCACACATGGGGCCACTATGAGTCGAAATCAACTTGACGGCAACTAACAACAACAATGTATAAAGGATTGTGACAATTAAAAAAAAGAAAAACCCTTAAAAAAGAAGGAAGGAAGGAAAAAAATAAAAAGGGAAGAAGGAAAGGAAAAAAGTTTGTGATAGAACTTTTTTTCCAATTTATATTGTGCTCAAAGTATAATGCAAGGGCTGTGTTCCTGACATTGTTGGGTAATCTGAATTTCCATAAGCATATTATTTTTACACAAACTACCACTCAAAAGTTGGAAATGCATTCACCATTTTGAATACATATTGATAGTTTCAATGAAATCACGTGGACCACGTTTTTTTGGGTCTGTATTCCTAGCATTGAGTATAAGGTCTACTACAGCCAGATTCTCAATACTAATGAATGAACAAATGAATAAATGAAACAATGTTTCTGGGTAGGCTTGATGCAAACCACCTGGGGTCACCATGAGAGCCATGGTCTTCAGCTTTGTATTACCAGCAGTGGTTTTATCAAGTCATCCTTAGGTGAGTAGTTAAACTCTGGGAAGTTGATTCATGGTAACCAAACTCTTAACTCATGAGTCGGTCTAATAATTTACACTTAGAACATCATTGTCAGTATTACTGGAATACAAGTGTTGGGTGGTCAGAAGTTCTTAGTAAAGCAGTCTCCTGGGAAAAGAAAACCAACATTTGAAGACTGCTTGATAAAAAGATTCAAAGTCCAAGGTACATATATGTGTACCTAGACTTAGTTGAACAAGATAAGGCTGGCCTGAGGAAGGGAGGGAACAGAAGAAGATGTTGAAGGCTATAGCATGGGAAGTGGCTAATCCATATCAGAATTATTTAGAGCCAAGAGCTAGTTGCCACCACCCACCTGTCAGTGTGTTGTACTGTAGTGGCTTGCATGTTGGTATGATACTGGAAGCTATGCCACCAGTATTTCAAATACCAGCAGGCCCACCCATGGTCGACAGGCTTCAGCAGAGCTTCTAGACTAAGACAGACTAGGAAGAAAGGCCTGGCAACCTACTTCTGAAAATTAGCCATTGAAAACCCTCTGGATTACAACATAATATTGTCCAATAGGGTGCTGGAAGATGAGCCTGCTCAGGTTGGAAGCCACCCAAAATACAACTGGGGAAGAACTACCTCCTCAAAAATACAGTCAACCTTAATGATGCAAATGGAGTAAAGCCTTTGTGACCTTCATTTGCTAATGTGGCACAAATCAAAATGAGAAGTAATAGTAGCAAACATCCATTAGTAATTAGAATGTGGAATGTACGAAGTATGAATCAAGTAAAATTGGAAGTCATCAAAAATGAAATGGAACAAATGATGATCAATATCCTAGGCATTAGTGAGCTGAAAGAAGCCCTGGTGGCCAGATGGTTAAGCACTCGCTGCTAACCAAAAGGTTGGCAGTTTGAACCCACCCAGTGGCTCTGTGGGACAAAGACCTGGCGATCTGCTTCTGTAAAGATTACAGCCTAGCAAACCCTAGGGGGCAGTTCTGCTCTGTCACATGGGGCCGCTATGAGTTAGAATCAACTCGATGGCACCTAACAACAACAAGAGTGAGCTGAAATGGACTGCTACTGACTATTTCGAATCCAACAATCATATGGTCTCCTGTGCTGGGAACAACAAATTGAAGAGGAATGCCATTGCATTCATCATCAAAAAGAATATTTTAAGAGCTATCCTGAAATACAATGCTTTCAGTGATGGGTTAATATATCCATATATCTACAAAGAACACCAGTTAATATGATATGATAGTTAAGGTTCTGTGTCAACTTGGCTGGGCCATGATTCTCAGTGGTTTGGCAGTTATGACGTAGTTTGGCGATGTAATGATGTAATCACCTCCATAATGAGATCTACTATGAGCAGTCAGTCAGTTGAAAGGGAGCTTCCTTGGGGGTATGGCCTGCATCTAATAATATATGTGGACTTTTTCGCAAAGCTCTCTGGCTTTTGTTTGCTCTGGATCCCCATCTGACCTCCGGTTCTTGGGACTTGAGCTACCAGCTTACCTGTCGATCTTGGGATTTGTCAGCCTCCGGAGCCTGTGAGCCAGAGGCCTATTGTCTGATCTGCCGATCTGGGGTTCACCAGCCCCTGCAGCTACATGAGTCCGGAGAACCCTCCAGCCTGACGCATGGACTTGGGACCTTCCAGCCTCTACAACCACATAAGCCATTTCCTTGATATAAATCTCTCTTTCTTTATAAAACCCATTGCCGTCGAGTAGATTCCAACTCATATATATACACAAATAATATGTATGTATATGCTTCACTGGTTTTGCTTCTCTAGAGAACCCAGCCTAAGACACATGACTTGAATTCAAATTTATGGACCAACCACAAATGCCAAAGATGAAGAAATTGAAGATGTTTACAAACTGCTGCAGTCTGAAATTGACTGAACATGCAATCAAGATTTATGGATAATTATTGGTGATTGGAATGCAAAAGTTGGAAACAAAGAAGAGGGATCAGTAGTTGGAAAATAAAGCCTTAGAAATAGAAACACCGAAGATCGCATGATAGAATTCTGCAAGACCAACAACTTATTCATCAGAAATGCTTTTTTTCAACATAATCAATGACTATACATGTGGACCTTCCTGGATGGATTACACAGGAATCAAATCAACTACACTTGTGGAAAGAGGCAATAAAGAAGTTCAATATCATTAATCAAGACAAAGCCAGGGGCCAACTGTGAAGCAGACCATCAATTACTAATGTGCAAGTTCAAGTTGAAGCTGAAGAAAATTAAAGCAAGTCCATGAGAGCCAAAGTACGACCTTGAATACATCCCACTTGAATTTAAAGACCATCTCAAGAATAGATTTGACACATTGAACAATAATGACCAAAAACCCAGAAGAATTGTGGGATGACATCAAAGACATCATACATGAAACAAATGAAAGATCATTAAAAAGACAGAAAAGACCAAAATGTTTGTCATAAGAGACTCTGAAACTTGCTCTTAAGCGCAGAGAAGCGAAAGTGAACAGAAGAAATAAAAAAGTAAAAGAGGTGAACAGCCGATTTCAAAGGGCAGCTGGAGAAGATGAAATGTGAAAACACCTGGAGTTAGAAAACCAACAGGAAAGAACACAACTGACATTTCTCAAGCTGAAAGAACAGAAAATTCAAGCCTCAAGTTGCAATACTGAAAGATTCTATGGGTTAAAAATTAAATGTAGGAAGCATCAAAAGAAGATAAAAGGTCTATATAGAGTCACTGTACCAAAAAGAATAGGTCAATGTTCAACCACTTCAGAAGGTAACATATGATCAAGAACTCTTGATGCTGAAGGAAGACATTTAAGTTGCACTGAAGACGTTGGGGAAAAACAAGACTCCAGGAATTGAAGTAATAGCAATTGAGATGCTTCAACAAATGCAATGCTGGAAGCGCTTACTAGTCTATGTCAAGAAATCTGGAAGACAACTACCTGGCCAACTGATTATACGAAGAAGAATGAGGCATCAGGACTGGAGGAAGACTCATTAAACAACCTGTGATATGCAGATGACACAACCTTGCTTGCCGAAAGTGAAGAGGATTTGAAGCACCTACGGAGGTCAAAGACTTCAGCCTTCAGTATGGATCACACCTGAACATGAAGGAAACAAAAATCCTCACAACTGGACCAATAAACAACATCATAATAAATGAAGAATAAATTGAAGTTGTCAGTGATTTTATTCTACTTGGGTCAACAATCAAAGTCTATGGAGGCAACAGTCAAGAAATCAAACGACGAACTGCATTGGGCAAATGTGCTGCAAAAGACCTGTTAATGTTTAAAAAAGCAAAGATGTCATGTTGATGACTAAGGTGCATCTGACCCAAGCCATGGTCTTTTCAGTAGCCTCAGATGCACAGGAAAACTGGATAATGAAAAAGGAAGACAGAAGAAGAATTAATGTGTTCCAATTATGGTTTTGGCAAAGAATGTTGATTATACTGTGGTCTGCCAGAAGAATGAACAAATCAATTTTAGAAGAAATACAACCAGAATGTTACTTAGAAGCATGGATAGTGAGAATTCGACTCTATTACTTTAGACAAGTCATCAGGAAAGACCAATCACTAGAAAAGGACATCATATTTGGTAAAGTAGAGGGCCAACGAAAAATGAGGGAAACCTCAATGAGGTGAATTTGACACCACAGCCACAATAATGGACTCAAACATACCAACGATCATGAAGATGGCACAGGTCTGGGCAATGTTTCACTCTTTTACACATAAGGTGACTGTGAGTCAAATCTGACTTGACAGAACCAGTTAATTAATAATAATAAACACTGTTTTCCAATATTTATGGCATTTTATGAAAGCAGACTTGGTGACAATAAGGCAGGGCAGAAACAAGACTGCACCTTAGGCAGAACACACAGCAGGCTCCCAGTAGATCCATAGGATAAGTAGATGCAGTGCAGTAAATTACTTAATATGGCCCTTCTAGTTATAGTTTGAAGCCCTGGTGGTGTAGTGGTTAAGAGCTCGGCTGCTAACCAAAAGGTTGGCAGTTCAAATCCACCAGCCGCTCCTTGGAAACCCTATTGGGCAGTTCTACTCTGTCCTATAGGGTTGCTATGAGTCAGAATTGACTTGATGACAACAGGTTTGATTTCTGGTTTAGACACAGTCTTTGTAACTCCCACCAAATGACTGGTGGGACTATGCAAATGAGGTACTTATGGCCCACCAAGGGGATTGGACAGCTTTCTAATTATTTAAATAATGTGCATGGCACATTATTGTGGGAATGGTACCATGCAAATAAAGTGTATGGAACCCTAAAGAGGGGATTGGTCAGTTTTGCCACCTAGCTAGGCTTAAAGGGAGACACGGAGAGAAAGAAGGAGCTGTAACACGGAAGACAGTGACAGATGGCGGCGCAACAGTAACAAGAGTGATACTGGCAAAGGCAACAGAACCAGAAGACCAGCAGGGCCCAGAGGTAGGAGGCCCACCAGCAGGGCCCGGTGGCTGAGGGCAAGTCGCTGTCCTGATTGAGGAACTGTGTCATGAGTTGTTCCTGTTACTTTCGAGTTGATTCTCATCCTGAGTTGTACCCTGTTACTTCCCTAATAAACCACTGACCTTACAGTTTGTAAGCTCTGTGAGATGCTGCAGTGAACTACTAATTCCAACGATGGGAGGGAGAGTACTAAGGGGAGGGGGAGTAGTTGTTAGAGATGATGGAGTGGTACAGCAGTTTGGAAGAGTTGGGCATTTGGGACATCTTTAACCTCTGCCTCATAGGAACCAGCTTTGTGCTGATCCTTATAAAAGAAATTATTATTTAGTAGAACAGAAACCAAGCACCAAGGTCATGAAGGGACAGTGACTCAGGTTGTCAGGACGGGAGTCAGGTTCTGAGGTACATTTTGGCTAAAAGAGTGCCACAAGGTTGGCAAGAGTGGGAAATGTGCATGAGCAGTAGCTAGGGCCTCAGGAAGCCCTTTGAGGCTTGGGGCATCCTGCGCAGGGCCCTTTGGTCTTGGAAGGACCCAGTATGACCTGCGGTTCTCTAACAACAAGGTGATGCCAAAGTCAGTACTGCACAATAGAAATATAATGCAAAACAATATGTAATTTAAAATTTTCTAATAGCTACATTAAAAACAGTAAAAAGAAACGGGAAATTAATTTTCAAATATACTTTATTTAACCCAATATATCCAACATATTATCACTTAAACATGTGACTCTAGGCAGTTTTCAAGTGTTCAAAAGCCATGCGTGTTAGTGGCTACCACAGTGGACATCACCATCCTAAACTACAGGATTTAATTAACTACCTTGTGTTTTCAAAGTCACTGAAGAGTTCTGTTACTGTAATGTTTCAAATTATAGTTTCTAGTATCATAGTTTAATATCTTAAAGAACAATGGCTTACAGCCTGGCTTTAATTCTGGCCTCTACACATTAACTGTGTGACCTTGAGCAAGTTACTTAATCTTTTTGAGTCTCAGTTTTCTCACCTGCAAAAATGAGCAAAATACATTTCCTTCTAAGAGGACTATTTTGAAGATTAAATAATTGAGTCCCTAGGAGGCACTCACCAAACAGCTGCTCCTTTGGCTTCCCCATTACTTCAGACTTTATGTTTTTAATTGGGTTTCCCTGGAGGAATTGTTTAGGGGCCAAATTTCATCTCTTGGTGGTTTTAATTCTTCCCCCAACATAACTCTGCAACCTCTAACAGCCACACTTCTTATCACATTCAGACACCTAAGAAGGAGGAGATGCACCAACCATCCCCTTCTCTTCCTTTCTCTCTTCATTCAAAGTATTCAATAGGCCTGCTCCCCTGGCTTGGTGGTAATTTTTTTTTCTGTTCCTATATATTCCCAACACAAGTATTGGAACCCAATCAGAGATCCAGCCCCTGAACTCTGTGTTTGGATACAGAACCCAAAGTAGATCAGTTTTGGTCCCTCATGAGTCTATCTGTAAATAACACTTTGAGCCCTACATTCTGTAGAACCATCCAGTCTATTGCTTTCCAGCTCCAGATCCTACAGTCTTTGGACCTAAAGAAGAGGAAGCAGGTTAACTGAGATTTGCTATGTGCAATTTGGAGCACTATTAAATTGTGTCTTTGTGATTTTTTCCTTGATTATCCCTGATCTTTCTTCCAAAAACTGCCATCATAGACAATATAGCACATCACTACCTACCGGGTTAGGTCCCTGGGTAGGGCAAACGGTTTGCGCTCAACTACTAACCTAAAGGTTGGTGGCTGGAACCCACTCAGCAGTGCCATGGAAGAAAGGCCTGGTGATCTACTTCATTAAGATTATAGCCAAGAAAACCCTATAGAAAAGTTTTACTCTATAATATGTGAGGTAGCCATGAGTTAGAATCAATTCAACAGCAATGGCTTTGGTTTTTTGGTTTTTATCTACTGCGCTAATCTTTATTGGTTTTATGCATGAGCGTGTTGTTTCAGCAACTAGATTGTAAGTGCCTTGAAGGTGGGGATCAGGTAAATCTAGGGCTCATTGTATTCACTGCTGTCTTCCACAGTGCTGTGCACACAGCAGGGGCTTAACCAGTACCTCTGCAATTGCCTAATTACACATGGAGGGTTTCTGGCCTGTCAAAACTATTTTTAGGAACAAAGAAATCCTGGTGCATGGACCAAGTTTTTTACCTGTGTCTGCGGTTCTGAGCAGGACCCAAATTCTGCGGCAAGCAGCATCCCCTAGCCTCCTACCACCACCCCAGCCTTAGAGACAACCAACAGTTCTATTTCAAGGCCTGTGGCGCCATTTCTGTCCAGCAACTGTCACGGGTGACTTGAGATGGCACAGAAAAAGCTCTATAACTGTTCACAACCCTTCACGGCCCAACTCCCTTTCCACAGACGACAAGGTGTAAGACCAGCTAGAGACCACACAGCTGTAACAGCCTCAGATCTCCTGCCTGCCGCCCCAGTGCCCTTTCCATGACACACACTGCAAGGAGACAAACCTCCTTCGGTGTCTTGGAAACGGAAAGGCTCCAAGATCTCCAAGATCCCAAGTGGTGATTCTCCAAATACAGTATCTAAATGGTCCCGGTTTGGCTGGGGGGAAGGGTGCTGGCGTGGAGGAGGAGAAAGCGGTAGCATTCTGCACAGACACCCGCACTTACCAGGAGCACCACTTTGGGAGTGGGGCCCTTAACCTCCCGAGGTGCGATGCCAAACCGCTGGCTGTACATCAGGATGCGGGCGGTGTCCACCGTGGTCCCCTAACCACAGCTACCTGCGGGACGTGTTGTAGCTATCCAGCGGTGTGGTTGCCATGGTCCGCCTCGCGGGTAAGGGACAGGAGGGGGAGGGTGGGTAGACGGAAGTTGACCCCGTCACCATGGAAACCATAGAAATTGGCACTCGCAACTTCCTCTTGGAGCTGAGTAGCTGAGTCTGCGCAGTTCTCACCCCGCCTTTTCCCAGGTCCTGAGCCCACCTCGCTCTTTTCCTCTGGGATTTATTCATAGCGACAGAAAAAGCCTTCTTAACCCAAAGAGAAGGTGAAGGTCTAATCACAATTGCAACTGACTTTGCTATTTATATCCTGTAATCACTCTAAATGCCTGAGAAAGGTTAATGAACATTTTGTGGGAAGGTTAAATTTTGTGACTTATCTGTAGGTTAATGTTGATGCCAGTAATAATCATCACAGGACAACCTTATACTTGTGTAATTCTTTACAATTTGCAAGGTTTTTCAACATAAAACCTTTGAGCCTCACAAATATAGGGTTGACAGAACAGCAGGTCTTATCCTTATGTTACAACTAAGACAAGGCTGAGAGCCTAAGTGCTTTGCAGCCCACTCCATCTGTAATAAAAAATTTATTGATAATAAAATCTTCCTATTGCACTGGGCAGAAACCACGGCTTAGACTTGGGGTAACCGAGGATGAGGGTAGATCAAATGGGCTGATAGGGCAATCACACGACCTGGCACAATAAGACCAAGAGTCTGAAAGCCGAAGCTCACGGTCGACCGGGGTCAGGACATGGTTTAGAAGTCCAAGCAATCAGATCCTGAGGATCAGGATCCCAGGCAGGAAACACACAGCGCAGATCAGGAAACTCAGACCAGGCCCTCAGCACAGGTGGAGACCACAGCTGCATTTCCAGTCAAGAGCAAGGTGGCAGTTAATATCCAAGGGCCAATTAGAATGAAACTTTGGTACTCCCATTCTAAAGTGGGGGCGAGCATAGAGCACAGAGAAAAAACAGTATTACGTCAACCACTGACGTGAAATAATAAACAACTGATGTGTATACCCACTTAAGGCTGCAATTTACTGTAAATTAGCATTCCTTAATCATTTGTAATCCACCCACTTCAGATTTTTAATGTGGTACGCTTCTGGATTTGAATTCCATTTTCTGAAACGCTGGTTCAGTTTTTGAGTCATAAAATAATGTCTTTCTTCTCTTTTAATAATCTCTTATTCTTTTTTTTTCCTCCTATAATGCTTCTTCTTTCAATTTCAGTTCGGTAAAATACTCATTTTCATTTACTGTTAACAGTTTACGTAGCCTGAAACAAAAAGAGAAAGAAATTAGATTGTTGCCTTGGTTCCCGGACGCTGTCCGGCGGGGCGGGTCCTCCATCTTAGAGTCACTGGGGCACACGGCCGCCGGCTGATCAGGGCGGAACCACCCCCACACCACACCCCTTAGAGCAGAAGAGAGACAGTGCCAACACCCTAGACTCGGTGCAGGGCTCGGGAAGAGCGCTGAGATTTTGGGTCGAGGCTGTGCAGCCCGGAGGGTCGCGTTGGAGTGAGTTCTTGAGGCGACGGGGAGGCTGACCCTTCGCGGCGCCCGGCAGCCCTCGGACATCCCAGCGTCGGTCCTGAGCTCGTCTTGCCAGGCCCGGTAATTAACTACAGCTCGGATCGCGCGAGGAGTCTCCTTTCCTTCGGGACCAGCCCAGGGACAAATGTCTCAGCCACTCGGAGGCCACGCCCCCGGACCGCCCAGGCCTGTGTTGAGGGGCAGGGTCTCCCAATTCCTGTAGAATGATCGCGGGCGGGAACCCCGGTCGCTCCTGTGGGCGCCCCCTGCACGCCCATCCGGAGGCTGCAGGGGCCGGGCCAGACCCATGCCAAGCACGTGGTGAGCCTCAGCCAACCCCCTCCGAGGCCAGAGAAGTGATTCACCCAAGGTCCTTCAGCAAGTTAGGAGGACCTGGATAGAACCTGACTTTGATCTCGCCACCCACCATCCCAGATTCTCAGAGGCAGTCAACACTTATCACCGTCAAGACCCGCTATGTAAATCGGTAAAGGGAACAATAAACAGCATTTTAAAGTAATTTTAAAATAGAACAGCTAGAGATAGAAATTATTTAAATTATTTCCAGTTCCTATTGTTCCCCAGCAAGGTTCACACAAGGGCTATCCTCCTGATAATTTCCTGAACTCTGTATTTTCACCATTAAATTCCATGATAAAGTTGGAAATCCATTCACCATTTGTAATACATATTAATGCATTTAATAAAATTGCATGTATCATATATCTTTCATTTCTGTATCCCAGTATTACAGTGTCTACCATGAGCCAGGTTCTCAACACTTGAATGAACGACACAAAAATAGCAGACACCAGCAAGTTTTTTTCTGGGTGGGCTTGACAGAATTTCTGTACTTGCTGGAATCACCATGAAATCCATGGTCTTCAGGTTTGCATTTTCAGCAACGCAGTTTTACCAAGTTATCCTCAGGTGACAGTGCGACCCTTGGGAGCTGATCATGGCAGGGTGGCTTTGTAATGTGTTACCTTGGCTAGGCTACATTTCCAGAACTCCCTTCCCCATGTTTCCGGTTAGGATGGGCCACACAGACATTGTGTGTGATAACTGGAGGGTAGAAGTGAAGCAGCAGCACACTGTTTTTACACTTGGATGATTGGTGCAGGGCACCAGGCGCTGTTGCAGTTCACACAGGTTGTCATTTATCTGCTGGCTCACCTCGTTGGTGTGGGGCAGCAGCCAGGCCTGTAGCCAGGCCTGCAGCTGCTCCACCTTCCCCGGATCTTCCTTCTGTTTCTCTAATTCCTGGGCCAGATGTATAGTTAAGTCTGTGACGAAGGGCACCAGCTTCTTCTGCAGGACACCTACATCATCGAAGTTGGAGGTGGTGGGAGACTGACATGGGTTCCAGGCCATCCTCGTGGGCTCCAGCTCCTGCCCGTGGGCTCCAGTATGTCCTCGCTCGCCCACACTTTACATCCATCTTCCCTTCCCGACTGCCTGCCCTGCAGACTTCAAGCTCCAACATTAGACACAAAGACAACAGCCTTACAGAGACTGTTTAACCAGCTCCCATAATTGCATAAGTCAAATCCCTATGATAAGTCCCTTAAAATACATAATAACATGTCTGTGTGTATAATACATACATAAATGTATTTTAAAGGATTTATTATAGACCATACTGCACTGAGCATATGCAATTGTGGAAGCTGGTTAATATATATATGTAATCTTTACCTTAATGGTTCTACATTTCTGATTTTACCCTGACTGATACTCATGAGTCAGAATAATCAAATAAATTGTACTTAGAACATCACTGTCAAAATTAACCAGAATACTGGCGTTGGGTGGTCAGATCTTTGGGCGAACAAAGCCATATCAGATTATCCAGAGTCTAGACTTGGGCTGAACTAGGTAAGGCGGGGAAGGGGCCGAGGAGGGCGGCAGAGGGCTATATCATGTGAATTAGAATTGGGAAATGGCTAATCCACACGTGAATCACTTAAAACTGCAGAGCAGGGACCAGGGTAAGGAAAAGGAGGTGCCTAGGGTACAAAATCTGAGGAGGCACTCACTCTGTCCTAGTACTGTAAAGCTAGCTAAGTAACAAATTACAGGTCTCATGTTTTTGGCATTTTATGAATGAAGAATTGGAGACAGTGAAGCAGGGCAGAGTCATGACTGGCCCTTGGGCAGGACTAAAAGAAGGAACTCAAGCCTTCTAACAAAAAAAAAAAAACAAGCATAAAGGTCGTTAGGGGGAAGGGGGTCAAGTTGTCGGGGCAAAGAATCCAGGCTGGCAGGTTCAGCTCTGAAGACCATTTTCGCTGAGAAGAGGGAGTAAGGGTGACAAGCAAAATGGACAGTAGTTAGCAGGGAGGGATGCCCTTTAAGGTTTAAAGAATCCTATGCAATACCACAGGCTGGGAAGGACCTAGTCTCTGGATGAACAGGGAATGACTTGCAGGTGCACTGAAAACAAGGCGACCCCATTCACATACATCATTGCCAGTCGCTAGACCGTGCTAGAGGCAGGAGTACGAGGGCCTTAGTATAGTATTTATGTTAATTCACTTTGTATTTTCAAGGTCATTGAAAACTTCTGTCACTGTAATATTGCTACACATTACTGTGTGTAGGGTTACAGTGTGGTTTAGTGGCTTAAAGAACAAGATATTTACAGCCTGCGTTTGACTCTAGGCTCTACCAATACTAGCTATTTGACATTGGACATGTTATTTTATCTCAGTCTACCTTTTCATGTGTAAAAAGTGGGCAAAATCAATATCCTCCTAAAAACAGATTAAATAAATTGGGTCCACAGGAAGAACTCACCAAACAGCAGTTCCTTATTTATTCACATTACATTTTCAACTGCTGACTCCCTGAGGAAATATCTAGAGACACTGCCCAGTCTAATCCAGAAGCCATTTAAAATTGTTGATGAGAATGACTTGTCTAGGTTGTTTTGTAGTGGCTTTAACTCTATCCCTCTCTCCCCACCCCTAATAACCAAACTTCTAATCAGACTCAGACCCCTGGAGCAAATGCACAACTTTCTACTCTTTCTCTTCCTTTCCTTCTTACTTCCTCTACAAGCTCACAGTACTAAATAGGCCTGCTCCTCTGGTTTAGTGGTAGACTTTCCCGATTCCTACTGACTCCTACATAAGCCCTGGCAACCAATCTATGGTCCAGTCCCAAAGTAGATCAGTTTTGTCTCTCATAAAGTCAGTCTATAAATGTCGCTTTTAATCCTACAGTCTGCAGAAGCCTCTAGTCTACTGTTTTCTAGTTCCAGGTTTTTTAAGGTCCTTGGACCTAGAGAAGAGGGAGTAGAATCATCTGTTTTTGAATGAGGTTTACTGTGTGCAAAATGGAGCAACACAAAACCACTTCCTGCTACTCGATGCCCCCCATCCATTTCCCCTTAATTATCCTTTCTCTTTCCTCTCTTTTTAAGAACTGCCATTAAAACAGTACAGCATGTCATTACCTTCTTTGTTGACATGTAGTAGTTCCATGCATAGGAAAATTGTGTCCCACACTAGATTACAAGCTCCCTGTAAGCAGGAATCCTTTGCCTCCTGAAGACTAAACCTAACAGGGTTCACTGTCTTCACTACTGTATCTCCACACTGCTGTGCACATGGAGGGGTTTCTGGTCTGTAGAAACTAGTTTGTAGGTACAAAGAAACCCAAGTGCTTAGGCCAATAGTTTGTTCCCATGTCTGGGGTTCTGTGCAGGGCCCGTAAAGATTCTACAGGAGGCACCATTCCCATTTTTCCCCACCATCCCAGTCCTTACAGGCACCTAATGCCAGGCTTATGGGGACTCCTGCCCAGTCAGGAGCTGAAACGGTTGCATTAGTAGCCTCACAAGACCCAGGAAAGGCTCAAGAAACACTCACAGACCAGCCTTACTCCACAGATGATGCTTCTAACAGGGGCAGGACTAGCCTGAGATTACAAAGCTGCACATTGACCAGCTTAGGACGCAGCTCTCCTGTCCACCCCACCTCTCGGCCCAGCACCATTTCTGTGATAGACACTCCCCACCGTCAGGGGAAATCCCACCTAGTCATCTCCTGGAAACTTCAAAGGCCTTCAACACCCCCAAATAATGATTCTCTGAATAAAAATACATACATGTAAGTCTGACCCCTGTGGGATGTTCTTAAGGCGACAGGGATCAAGCTTTCCTTATCTTCCTTTTTCTTTCAAATCTCGCCACAGGGCATCAAGGCCTTCCCACCCCCTTCCAAAGGAGAACACTGACCTGGAGCCTGTTGGGCCAGGAGAAATCTCTGGGGTCCTGGACATGCCCCCTCATTGACCATGATCAGCCTGTGGGTGTGAGGCCTTTACCTCCCACTGCACCATGCCAAATCACTGCTGTACTTCCAAAACCCAGGGCCCATGTCTAGCTGGCATCCACCCCATCCCACCTCTCCCTGTGCGGGGCACACCTTGGCAACCAGATGGCTGTGTCCCGGAAGCGAGTTCCACCCAGGCTGAAAATCTCTGTGATCTGGGGAAGAATTAACATCATGGGTCAATGTGGTAGGTGGGGTTAAGGCAGGGCCAGGGCAGGTTGGGGCGTTCCCCAGCACTGACCACAGGTGTGCCAGCTCCTCCTGCCTCCTCCTCTGGGGCTGAGTCGAAGGCAGAATCATCCCTATTCTCCTCCCCCTTGTCCTCCTCAGGGTCAGGTGGCTCCTGCTTCACAGGTCTCAGGCCTGGGTTTATTGTCTGAGAGAAGTGTAAAATAGGCAATGGTTAGACAGGCAGGGTTAGCTTGAAGAAACAGTCTCCTCCATCCACCGTCACGTGCCCACAAATCCCACATCCATCCAGTTAAGCACAGAAACGCCATCTCTCTGCCTACAGACTGCCCTCATAGATCTCCATTTCTCTTAGCAGGAAGCAAAGCAAGCAAGGCTACTTGCCTGGGGAAGGTGGTGCATCTGTCAGACAGGCGGGGTAATTCTGCAGAAGGGCTACAGTCAGCAGACTTACTGCTCTGCTCAAACCACCATCATAGCTCTCCATTACTCAGTCTACACTCCACCCTATATGGCACCAACAGAACACCCATCACTGACCCCCACCTTGCTGGGACAGCCAGGCAGCAATACAGGAGAAATCAGAATGGCTGTGCCTGGTGTCCAGTCTTCTTGGGCATCCATCTTCTCTTGCTTCACCTGTTGCGACCACAACCCAACTCAGCCCAGGGCAATGGGCCTCCCACATGAGGGAGGACTGCAGCTGACTTGGCCCTAGCCTCCTGGCAAGAGGGTGTGTGAGGTCAAGAAGGGCAGGATCAAGGGGGAGGGGAGGGGAATCACCTGCAACGGAGCTTCTATGGAATGGGCAGGGCCAGGCACTGGCACGGGACTGCCTGCGCCCTCCCGTAGGAACACAAGGTCAGTGCCAGGTGGGGGCAGCACAAAGCCACCACCTGACTCCTGCTTCATTGGAGCCTGGGCATGTCCCGGTCGGGCTATGGGCATGGCTAAGGGGGACCCCAGAGTGGGCCCGGGCCGGGGCCGGCGGGCAGAGACAGGCCTCCTTCGACGATGACAGGGTGAGGGCAGCTCTGCTCCATCCTCAGACCCTGCCCAGACACTGGGCAGCAGCCGCTTCTGCAAGGAAAGATGGGGTGCTAGGGCATCCTGGTACCATGACCAGTCACACCCACCCTTCCCTGCTCAATGTGCCAGCTGACCCCCCATTAAACCCAACATGGCATCTGCTTACATACGAGCCCCTCATCATGGAATCTGCTAGTCTCCCGTTAGTAATACCAGTGCCACGAAGACCTCATTCATCCCACCACAATGTTTGCTAGTCCTCAGCCAAACCCATGCCCTGCCCACCCCTCACAAGCTGAAGGAGCCATCTAGCCCAGTTCACCCACCTGCCAGGCCTGCTCACTGGAGTGCCTGGCCCAACTTATGCTACCCAGAGGACCCTTCCTGCTCCACCCACCATGGCAAACTGCAGGCACTGGCGCCAGCGGCACTTCTGGCGCTTCTGATTGCTGCCTCCAAATTTGGGCTTATCACAGCAGAAGTCACAGCGGCCACAGTCTGTCCGCCGCAGGCAGGCTGCACAGGACCCGCACTTTCGGTTCTGTCGCCGGTTCGTGTAAGGCTGCTGGAGAGTGGGAGTGGGGCCGTCATTAGGACTAAGAGAGGATGCACTCAATACCTGTTATTAGTGCTGTTCCTGCTGCTCCTCCATTAACCCTACTGAAGGAGCTAGTCATATCCTAGCCTCAGCCTGCTGACTCCCCATTAGTCACATCACATTGTTTGCTAGTCCAACACAGCCACCATCACTGTGCTGGTCAGCCCTCAATACCATCAGCACTGTGGTTGCTCTGCCAACACTAGTATCCATCGCTACACCTGCCAGTCTCCCACTACCTCCTAGAACAATGTCTTTGACCCCCAACTCCAGTAAGATTTTGCTGACCCTCTATTACCCCCATCGCTGTGCCTACTATGTCTGCACATCCTACGTGAACCCAAGTCGCTATGCCTTTCGCTCCCCTATTAGTCCCATCATTGTGTCTGCTAATCCTGCCACTGACCCAACCAGTGTTGGCTCATGTGACACTGGGGACTGTCACTGTGCTTGCTGATCCCATACTAGTGTCCCCCCACTCTCTGCTCATTCCATACCAGTACCTATCACTGTGCCTTGCTGTTCCCCTGCTAGGCCCATTACAGCATCTGCTTCTTTGGGGTTAACCAAGTACCCTGGAAGAGTCTAGGCTTATCGTGTCCAGGTGGGGTGGGGCCACTCACTAGCTCATCCTCGTCTACACAGTAATAGATGAACTCAGCAGGTGATGAGGGGGCCAGGGCTCTGGGGTGCTGCAGAGGCAAATGGGGTGGGGGTCAGAGCACATACTGAATAAGATTATGATTGGGCCTTTCCCCTGCCCGCCAGGGCCTCACCAGCTCTGTGGGCTCTGGAGGCTGTAATAGGGGCGGTGGAGGCAATGGCTGGGTTTGGGAGTGCCGCCGGGCAGCAATCTTGGGGTCGCAGCCTCCTCTGCGGCGGCCATGTTTGCCCTGGGAGAGAGCCAAAAAAAGAGATTTGGGTGATTTGGGTAGATACATGACCCCTAGGAATGCAGAAAGCATGCATGGGACAGGTAGGCAGAATGTGGAAAGGGGCACTCACAGCAGGGGGAGCCACAGCCAGGGGAGGGCGTCGTTGACATCGTTGATGGCGGCGCCGGAGGCGGTGGGCAAGGTGCTGGCAGAAAGGGGCAGTTAGGAGGGACCGGGGAGGTGAGCATGGGGTGGGGGAGAAAAACGAAACATGAGGTTGGTAAAGCCAGGTGGGAAGGAAGCAGCAGGAGTTCCAACTTTAACAGGAGAATAAGTTCTGCCCCAGCTCTGGCCCCACCAGTCTAACTCACCCGCAGGCAACGCCGCTGGACGCACCTCCACTGGCGCCTGAGACCTGGGCGGGGTGGGCGGAGGCAGACTCGACAACGGCCACAGTCTTCTCTGGTCTGACAGCCCCTGCATACTCCACACCCTCGACTCTGCAGGTTGGGCCGCAGGCGTGATGGACGGGGCCAAGAGCATGAGGGCCAGGGGCCAGGGGCATAAGGGTCAGGGTCTAAGGATCACAACTAGGGCCATAATGAGCAAAGCCCAGGGCAAGCCTCAAGCCCACCCCACCTGACTGTGCCCGACTCACCCTTTCCACAATCCGGAGGCAGCGTCTCTGCTCGCATTTGCAGAACAGCCCAGAAGCCACATCACGGGGCAGCTGCAGGAGGCAGGTGGAGCAGGCCCCGCAGTCCTCAGTCACCTGGCAGGCCGTGCATTCCCCGCAGCCCACACGCTGCCAGGAAATGGTAGGGTGAGATCATGGACCCAGGCAGGGTGCCCTAGAAGCATGGTCCACCCACGTCTGATGATCCCACTTTAGCCTCCATCAACGTGCCTGCCAGTCCCCCATTAGCCTCATCACTGTATCTGATAATTACTCGTCACTATCACTAAGGCCATCACTGTGTCTGCTGACACTCCATTACTCCCATTACTGTATCTGCTGACCCACAGCTAGCTCCCTATATAATGACTAACACTCTGTGGACCCATTACCATTCCTTCACACCTTCCATCAGCCCTCATCACATCTTGCTCCTACCACAACGTTATGAGAAGGAGGCAGGTCAGGCTTACCTTAAACATCCTCTGCTCTCGGTTGAAGGCAATTCTCTGCACTACAGGGACAAGAAGGGAGAGAGAGAAGTAGAAAGGGAGTATCAAACACCTGACCTCATCTACTACCTCTGTCCTGACTCCACCATTCAGCCCCAACCCAGGCCTGATTACTTCCAACACTCAACTTCCAAAACACCAACAGCCTCTGTCCTGACATCCACCATTCAACCTCCACCCTTGACTGACACTGGGCCTACTCCAGCTTCTGTCTCCCAATGACCATCCCCTGGAGGCCACTCACCTCGGCAGTCCTTGCACAAAGTCTTGAGCCGCTTCCTCCGGGTGCCATCCACGGAGAAGCGGATTCCACAGTTCTCGCAGCACCTGAGATGTGAAAGATGGAAGTGGGGCCCTAAGTGTGCCCCAGCCACATCCCCCACCCATTTGGCTCAACCTCAGGCCAACACTCACCCAGGTGCAGGGAATGAAGCCGGGGCTGTGTCAGTGTCAGCCTTAGTCTCATCGCTCGGGGCCTCCTTCCTGACCTCACCCCTACAGGGTCCAACCTGACACTGCTGAGCTTTGACTGGTCTTGAAGGCTTCTTCCGCTTCCTGCTGGGGACAGCCAAAGCATGGGCCTGGAGATGGGAGTGAGGGCAGGAGAATGCAGGCCAGTGAGTGGGTGGGTGAGTGAGTGGCTGTCACAGCCACCCCTGCGTGGGCACCCCACATTATGGGAAGTACCTTGGGGGCTGGATAGCATAGGACACCTTGCTTGAAGTCGAAGAGGGTGAGGTCGCACGCGGGGCCCAAGTATCGGGTCAACTCAACTTTGCTTCGTATCCGGTCTCCTGTGGGGCTGGGGGTGAACCAGAAGGGTTAGCGCCCAAAGCAATCCACCACAGCCACTCCACTCACACAACCCTCCCATAGGACTGGAAACAGGCCTGCAGGGCTGGTGGGATATAGGAGGTAGGCTGGGACCTGCCTGAGAACCCCACCCAGGCCCCACTCCAAATAACCCTTAAGAGCGTGAACATAAAATATGAATACAAATATCAGCATGTATGCAAATATTAATAAATAGTCTGATAGATATGAATACACAAGTAGTCCCCAACTTATGATGTATTTGGGCTATGATGAACTGCACTTACGACTACCGTTTTTTGTTTGTTTTTTGGTACATTCAGGCTTTTACTATTGGGCACCTTAAAACTCTTGCAGCCTCTACCCAATTCCAAAACCACTTCCACATCGTAGGTATCTGTTAGAGCAGCACCCCAACTTCTCAAGTACCAAATTCTGTCTGACTTATCTAGTGCTGCAAATAAAACAAGTGGATGGCTTTAACAAACAGAAATTTATTTTCTCCCAGCTTAGGAAGCTAGATGTCTGAATTAGGGGAAGACATTCTCTGTCAGTTCTGGAGGAAGCTCCTTGTCTCTTCTGAGTTTCTGCTCCTGTGTGATCTTCATGTGGCTTGGCATCTCTCTTCCCCTATCTCTGCTTACTAGCTGTTTGTTTAATCTCTTTTATACCTTGAAAGAGATTGAATCAAGACACACCCTAGCTAATCCTGCCTCCTTAACGTAACAAAGACAACCCATTCACAAACAGGATTATAACCACAGGTATAGAGATCAGGATTTACAACACATATTTTTGGGGGACACAATCCAGTCCATAACATTCCATCCTTTAACCCCTCAAAATTTAAATCCTCGCCATATGCAAAACACATTCACCCCATCACATCATCCCAAAAGTCTTAAATCAATTCCAAGCCCAAAATCTCATCTTCTCAATCACATAAACCAAATATGGGTGAGACTTCAGGCATATTCCATGCTGGGGCAAAATTCCTCTTCATCTGTGAACCTGTGAAATCTAGATTACAAGTTATGTATTTCCAAAATACAATGGTGGACTGGGCACAAGGTAGATATTTCCATTACAAATGGGAAAAACTGGAGAGAAAGAAGGGATAACGGGTACCAAGCAAGTCCAAAACCCAGCAGAACAATTCAGATTCGCTCTCAAGGTCTGAAAATAATCCTCTGTTCTCTGAGACCATTTGGGCAATGGTCTCCAGACTTTAGGTGTTCGCCATGCCCTCTAGATTCTGGGTGGAGGCCCCATGGCCCTGGGCTTTAGCTCCGCTTTCCAGGCCCACTGGGACAGCACCTCTGCTCCCTCCACTTTGGGTGGTCACATTCTCCTAGTCCCACTGAGTGGCGATCCCATCTCCTGGGCCCTGGCAGACCCCGTTCTTCTGCCCCTAGGGCATGGCAGCCCCACCCCACCGGCTTTGGGCAGCGACCGCATCCCCCTGGTACACCTTAACAGCAGCCCCACACACCAGAACTGAGTTGGTGAAAATGTGACTCTTTGAAACCTAGGAGGCTGTGGCCCACTCAATGAGATCCAGGAGACCATGGCCCCACCCTTTGAAACCAAGAAGGTCCTGCTTCCCATGCTCCTGCTAACAGTTCTGCAGATCTCCGAGCTGCTCCAAGGATGGTCCTTTTCTTTTCTTGGAGGATAACAGATGTAGCTCCTTTGGCCTGTTTCCTGCCTGTAGAATTCCAAGAGGCAGATGGTGTTCTTTCCCTGTTCCCTTCAGTCTAAGCTGATGGGTTTTCTGCTGTGGTAGTTGGTTAGATCCATCAGCCACAGGGTTGCTTAATCTCTTTAACAAAACATCGTGTAGCCACATCCTTGGTGAAGATTCTAGGATACATGTCCTTAATTTGTACAACAGAATTTCCCAAATATTTAAGTTTTGTTTCCATTTTGCACAGTTCATTTTTAAGTCTTTTTTTTTCCTCTTATATTTTACTATAAGAGCAACAAACCACGTTACCCCTTTAAGATCTTGCTTAGAAATCTCATCACCTAGATACCTAAGTTTGCCATTTACAAATTCTACCTTCCACCAAACATCTGAACATTATTCAGATAAGTTCTTTGCTGCTGCATTAAAAGCATCACCTTTCCTCCACTGTCCAATCACTGTTCATCATTTTCTTTTACAGCCTCACCAGAACACATTTAATGTCCATATTTCTAGCATTACTCTGTTGCTCATGCCATATGTATTCTCTGAAACAAAAGAGACTTTCTCTATAGTTCTCACTTCCTTCTGAGCCCTCACCAGAATTGCCTTTGACGTCCATAATTCTACCAACAGTCTCTCCAAGGCAATCTAGGATTTTACTATAAGTACCTTAAAACTCTTCCAGCCTCTATCCATTACTCAATTATAAAACAACTACCACATTGTAGGTATTTGTCAGAGCAGCACCTACACTTCTCGGTACCAAATTCTTAGTTATCTAATGCTGCTATATCAGAAATAACACAAATGGATAGTTTAACAAACAGAAATTTATTTTCTCACAATTTAGAAGGCTACATATTCGAATTCAGGGTGCTGGCTCTAGGAGAAGGCTTTCTCTGTTGGCTCTGGAGGAAGGTCCTTGTCTCTTCTGACCTTCTGTTCCTGAGTGATCTTCATGTGGCGTGGAGTCTCTCTTCCCCCATCTGTTGACTTGCTTGCTTATTTGATCTCTTTTATATCTCAAAAGAGATTGACTCAAAACACATCCCACATTAATCCTGTCCCATTAACGTAACAAAGACAACCCATTTCCAAATGAGTTTATAACCACAGACGTAGAGATTAAGATTTATAACACATATTTTGAGGGGACACAATTTGTGGCGTGACAAATCACTTTTGTGTGGTCCTTCCTCGCCACAGTCTTGTAACTCCCATCCAAGTGACTGGGTAGGACTGTGCAAATAATTGTGACCCACCAAGCAGATTGGTCAGTTTTGCCATCCCTCTAGTCTTACAAAGAGAGCCAATTCAAGAACAGAGAGAGGATCTCTGCACTGAAAAGCTCCTGGAACCAGGAGACCATGAGAGAGAGCTGTAACACTGAAGACAGTGAGAAGTGGCAGAGAAATGGCAGCAGGAGAGGCCAGCAGGAGACAGCACAGTGGGATTCCTGGCCCATGGAGGAAGAAAGCCGAGTGCCTTCAGGCAGAAGTCTTGCTGGCGAAGTAGGGTGCCTCAGAGCACTTACTGGCAGAGTTAAAAGAGCTTCTAACACTTGTCTGAGCAGGGCAGAGGCCAAGGGGCCAGAGAGAGGCATGCCTGCGGGCACAGCTGAGAAGAGGCTGTCCTGATGGAAGAACCGTATCTTGAGAGTTCCTGGACCTGAACTGTAATCTGTTACTTCCCTAATAAACCCCATAATTATGAGTATGGTCTGTGAGTTCTGTGTGGCCACTGCAATGAATTATCAAATGCAGCAGCGAAGTAAAGAGTGCCGTGGGATGGATAGCTGGTGTCAGAATTGGTAAAGATTGTAGAGAAAGGAGGCCTGTCTGACCTCCACCTCATAGGAATGAGAATCAGCCTTGGGCTGTTGATCTTGATTCTCTTTCCCCTTTGTGAAGTTAAGAGGAGATAAGACACGGCTCCCACGCCATTTTTACACAATTCAATCCATAAGAACATCGTATCATTAGTAACGTGTACTATACACAATGTTCCAGCGAGCAATTTGCTGATGTTACTCTCAGATGTTCACTCACAGATGTTCAGTGTTTCTTGGAGAAAGTTACAGGAAAATGCACGCAGAGAATATGGAAAAAATTGCTGAGTTATGTGAACACACTCCAAGCATTTGACCAAGATAATATGATGGAAGAAATCAGTGGAAAAATAGTCCATAGGGCAAGAACACTGAATTTAGAACTTGGTATCACCAATGTGGAACAGCTCATAAATCACAAAGAAGGAGAATCGACAAATCAGAAACTTAATGGATTTTGAAAAGGAAAAGGAAAAGAAAAAAGAAATAATGAGGAAGAAGGAGAGAAGTTGTCAAATAAATTTTACAGTGAAAGGATTAGCTGGAGTTTTTTCTAAACTAAATCAGGGGCTTCAGTTGCTTGAAAATATGGACCCAACACTGATTGTTTTGCTAAAGTTGATAGGCAGACTAGGAAAACAGTAAGATGTTACCGCAAAACATATAAAGGAAAAAAGAAAAATACCATTCAGACAACTCTCGCTAACTTTCTGACTAGAAACACCATCCACATTCCCAGGGATAATCCAGATGATTCAGAACCTACCACAAATGGAGTTGTTACCACAACTGACAGTCAACACTATCCAACTCTTTTTCATCACCAGAGTAAATTCTTATGATTTACGTAGTTTTAAATGTATATATACATGTATTAAAATATACCTATAAGTTTATGTGAAATGTTTCCAACTGCCAACAACAATAAAGCTCAAATCTATAAAGACACTGATAACAAAACACAACAATAATGAAAACTGAAATAAAAAAATTAGGTATTCAACTTATGTCAAATGACGGAGTTTTCGGAACGGAATCCCATCGTAAGCTGGGGACTACCTTTACTTACGACACGTGATACATAGTTGCATGACATATAAATAAAAGTAAACACAAATAGGAACACAAACGTTAAATAATGCATACGTGTGTTACTGATACAATACTTTTTTTTAATGGACTATGTTTTCAAGTATGCCTATGTATCTTTGGAATATGAGATAAGATATCCTTCTAGAGCAAAGGGGAAGCACAGGCACTATCATGATACGATAAAAGATTCTATTCCCTAAGCTCAGGGTTCTTCTCCTGTTAACACAACCCAGTGCTCGTGCAGGTGCCATTTAGCCCTCTTCACGTCACTCTGTGGGAACTTACACGAGTACCAGAACAAAAATGATGTACTGGGTACTGCTTTTATTGCCGTGAGTAGTAAACTCTCTGTACTTTCTGAATCAGGAGTTTCGTATCTTCTAATAGCATCCACAAAACTGTTACACACTCACTTGTTATCTTGGCCTAAGGGTAAAATCTCAGACCTTTCTGTGGGAAAGCAGTCTATCTCACCTAGATAGCCTAATCAGAGCTTAGAGCCTGAACATTCCCTGATAATGGAGGTGGAGTACTAAGCCTCCCTCTGTCCCAGTTTCTTTTTCCTTATCAGGGAAACTCCTTCCCTGTTCTGGGTACCCAATAAACTGTCTTTGTACTGCTTAAGTATGTATGTCATACGGCACCTGGCCAACGCTCATGCAATTTCAGTCCCTGCCAGGAAGTACTACCACCCATCTGTCATTTTGTCATACTGTGGTGCCTCGCATGTTACTACGATGCTGGCAGCTATGCCACCGGTATTTCAAATACTAGCAGTGTCACTCATGGTGGTCAGGTTTCGGCCAAACTTCCAAACTCAGACAGGAAAAAAAGCCTGCCAATCTACTTCCGAAAATTTCATTAGCCAATGAAAACCCTATGGATCACAATAAAATACTGTCTGATGTGGTGCTGGAAGATGAGTCTGCTTAGTTGGAAAGCACTCAAAATACACAGTAGCATACTAACAATCCTGAAGATAGTGCAGGAATGGGTGACACTTCACTCTGTTGTAAGTGGGGTTGCCATGACTCAGAGCCAACGCGATGACAGCTAACAACAGCAGGGGAAGGGACAAAGTCCTTCACCTGTGGCATGGAAGAGGACCCTGTGTTGGCTGTGGAGTGAGACCCGCTGGCGATGGTGGACGGATGCCCACATGTAAAACTAATCGTTATCTGTCTCTTCTCTACGTGAGAAAAGCATTATTCCAACCCGTGCCTGTTTCAAATTGTGTTTTTCTTGGCGAACTTGGACATTGGCTCAACACTTTCATAATTCTTGACAATAACATTTATGTTTATTTACCATTTTTTTAAAGTTTTATGTTGCTGTTGCTAGTTGCTGTCAAGTCAATTCCGACTCACAGCAATCCTGTAGGACAGAGTATAACTGCCCCATAGGGTTTCTTAGGCTGTAATCTTTACAGGAGCAGATTGCCAGGTCTTTCCTCCCATGGAGTGGCTGGTGGCTTTGAACTACTAACCTTTCAGTTTGCAGCCAAACACTTAATTATTGCACCACCAGAATACATAAATATGTGAACAAATGTGTAACTAAACATAAATAATATAAATAAAAAGTAATCATATTTGTCATCTCACCATATTCCTCTAGGAAACTGGCAACTCAGAGACAAAAAGATTCAAAAAGAGTTTAAAAACTTTATTATCTATATCACTAATACATCCTAAAACACGTAAAAATTTGGGTTTATAAACTTGTATACCTACCTGTTTACATGTATAATTTTAACCCCACCCATACCATATCCTCTGATTCTACCCTGTCACTAATGAGGCTCAGCCCCATCCCTGACTCTGCCCACAACCCACCCATTACCTCTCGTAATAAGTGTCTGAGCGTCCACAGGTAGCCCCTGACTTGCGTAAGACCTCTCGGCGCTTCCAGCCAGGGCCCAGGGCTGGGCAGTCCAACCAGTCCTCAGCCATGGGGGCCACAGGAAGGGATGGCGGCCTGCAAGGTAAGGTGGGGGAAATGGGGGAAACTGAGGCTCTAGGAAGGGACAAGTTGCGCCCCAGGCCACACAGCGCCCTAGTATTCACTAATACTTGTTCAAGACCTGCCACAGGTAACCAGCCCATCCATGGAAGAGAAAAACCCTTACTCCTGTCCCACTCTTTCCTATCCCGGATCCAGGAGCTCCCTGTTCGTTCCCATCCTTGACCTGCTAGCCTCCATTGCTCTCCATCCTTGACCCAAGGGCTCCCATTCCTCTCTCTCAGTATCCTGATCCTCAATTTCTTTCTATTCTCAAGCTGAGAGCCCATCATTTCTCCTCACTGCCAATGAAGTTTTCAATCTTTCCCCCTTCCTCCCTGTCTTTGATCTAAGGGTCCCTATTCCTCCCCTTTGTCAGAGACCCCCATACTTCCAGTCCTCACCGTGAGAGGTCTCATTCCTCTCCATCATCAGTCCAAGAGACTCCCATTCCTCTCCATCATCAATCCAAAGGACCCTCATTCTGCTCATCCTGACTTAGGTCCCCGGTACTTTACCTCAGTACTCTGACCACTCATTCTTCTTTTTTGTCTGCTCAAGAGTCCTTGATTCCTGCACTTCATCGTTTTAACTCTGCTATTCCTTCCCTCTGCCTGATGTCCTCTTATTCCGCTCAGTGTTGCGACCTCAGTTTCCTCTGCCCAAGAGTCCTCAACTCCTCCATATCCTTGGTCTGAACAGTCACTTATTCCTTCCCTTCCTGAGCATGGAAGTTTCCCATTCCTCCCCTTCTTCACCCCAAGAGCCTCCCCCAATTATCTGCCCTCTCAGTGTTCTGACCCACAGTTTCTCCTCAATCTAAGCCAGAAAATCACCTGATTCCTCTCCTCTACAGCCCAAAAGCCCCCTACTCCTCCTCTTCTACGTTCTCATCTTCCATTCCCCTCTCATCAGCCTAAGACTGATTTCTCTCCTCAACTATGACTCCAGAGATCATGTCATCTCAGTCAGCGTCTGACCACCTATCCTTTCTCGTCTTCCATATGACCACCCTACTCCTCCCTTTCATGCGTGCCAACGCCCCCATTTCTGTCATCGACCTGAAGGCCCCTCATTCCTCCCGTTCAGTGTTCTGAATCCCCCATTCCTCTCTGTCCTCTTCCACGATCCCGACGCTACTACTTGCCAGCCTTCGGAACCCCACTCCTCCCCGTCCTCCTTCTGAATCCCCTCATTCCTCCCTTTCAGCATCCCGACGCTGCAATTCCTTCCTCTTATCGGTCTGAGGACCTTTCACTTCTCCTCGTCAGCTTTCTGAGCCCCAATTTCTCTCCATCCTCCGCCTGAGCGCTCCCCACTTCCACTCCCACGGCAGTCTCACCAGCTCAGCGACGGGCTGGTAGCTTCCGCCGTTCTAGGCTCGCGGACCCATGACGAGGGGCCTGCCTGCCCCTTTGCCTCGTCCTACTCTTCCTCCTCCGCAGCCGCCTCTCTGAAGCGGTAGCTGTCGCCGCCGCAGCCGTTCGTTGCTCACGGAACCGGAAATCCGCCGCCTCTCTTGGGCACCGCCCCTGGCTAGACGCCTGCGCACTATTGCTCTGCCCGCGCATGCCCTTAGTGGGGAAGGTTCCCGCGCCTGCGTGCTTGTGTTCCATAGCTGCGCGCGCAGGTTGCGGACCTGCTGTGCCTGCGCGGTGACATCCAACTGCGGCTCGCTCTCCTATCGGGGAGCTGCAGCAGCTGCGCATCTCGCTTCCCCATCCGGCGTGTACTATCCCACTACCACCTTGTCTGCGCCTGCGCTTTCCGACCCCAAGCTAAGGGGGCGTGGAGGACTGGGGTTAGGCCGGCGCTCTCCGTCCCTTCCCGAGTGCCGGGGAGGGAAGGGACGGCGAATGGTGGGAATGCGCCTGCGCAATGCCCTTTTCGGGCAGCATGAGTTTCTCCCTCTGCCAGACCTGTTGCTGCCTGCATTCTCGGTTCCCTTCGTCTGTCTCCCAAAGGTGTGCACGGGCAGGAAGAACCTGTCTAGTGGCTAGGGCTGCGCCTGCGCACTGCCTTTTCCAGCAGGGGCCCGCCTCTGCAACCTCTCGCCTGGGTCGCGACAGTGCTCTCCCTCCCTCCAACCACCTGCCCCGTGGCCTTTGTGTCCCGCACTCTCCTCCCCGCCGGACAGTCGTGGGAGCGAGCGGAAACCGTGAGTTGCGCCGCGTGCAGGCCGCACCTCTTTTCGAGGGAACTGTGGAGGGGGGCGGTGCCCGCCGCAGGTAAACAGTGGGCACGGCTGTGCGACTGAGCGTGGGCGTGCCACCTCTCAAAGGTCTTGCCTTGGGGCTGAATACACCCTACAACCGGAGGGGGCGGGGTTAGGGTTCTGGGAACAGATGGTGGGCTCCTGCTGTATGCATGCCCCCAAAAAGAAGAGAGGCTTGTGTCCGTTACTAAATACACCGCCGGTCTGGCGAATATTAACGCTCACACAGAAGTAGTAAATCAGCCACACACTGAATGAGTGTTAACTGTATACCCACTGTCCCAAAATGAGAAGCTAAGAACCTTGGGCTCTCCCTCATCAGGTCACATCCCCACAGCCCATGGAAGTCCTACACAGTACACAGTAGGTGCCGACTGCATACCCGCTCCCTACCCATGCTACTGCAGCCCCTCCCAAGTACAAGTGTGCCACTGCCCAGCTTCCCCAGGGGGTTGGGGGTACAGATGCAGCCAGAAAGACAAGTTTGGAGGCCATCGGGAATTGTCCTCGTTTTTTCCAAATTTTATTAACAAAACCCAGGGAGAGGGAGACAACGCCTTACTCTATGGTCTCACCCAGGCACGGAGGATGAAGAGACAGAGGAATAGATAAGGATGAGGAAATTCTGAGACCCTCCAATGGGTAGTCAAATGGTAGATGGGCACAGAGCGAAACTCGGGGACCTTGGAGAAACAGCTGAATGGAGGAACAGACACATGGATGATTCAGGGCAGCTCCCCCACCTGGAATGCAGGGTGTGAAGAAGCCTAGGCAGGTGAGGCTCAGCGGTCAGCAATGGATCGAAGGTCGGTCGTGAGTGGGTCATGCTGGATTGTTTGGTGCAGCATCAGGGCCAGTAACCCTGCCCGGTTTGTCATGGCTGTGCGTACATTGCGCTCCTGCTCAAACAGCTCATCTAGCTTGTACCACTGCCGGGGGAATAGATGGAGCCATGAAAAGGGGCTCCTGAAGCCCAGCCTACCCCTAGCCACATCCAGCATCAAAACTTACCACACGCACACGCTCTAGGTCCACTTCAGCACGCCGCAACTTCTCCCAGCAGTAATGGCGGTTGCACTGGCGCTTGGGCAGACGGCAGAAGTCGCCTGTGAGCTCAAACACATCACGCACAAGGGGGCACCCGCATACTTCATCAGCTGGCACCTGCAGGGAGCCCGGAAGTGAGGATGCATAGAGGGTGGTAAGGCAGGGAGGAGAATAGGAATGGGGGATGGTCAGAGAGAGGGAAGGGAAAGAATGAAGAGAGGTCAAGCAGGAAGTGGAGGAAAGTGAAGAGGCAGGGGAAAAGGGAGAAATGGAGAAGGAAGAGACAGAGAAAAGGAGAAACAAGACAATCACTAGAGAGGAAGAACAGAAAGTGTTCAGGCAGGGAGGTGGGAAGGACTGAGAGATCAAGCAAGGAGAAGATGAGTGGGAGTCAGTGAGGAAGGGAGGGTGGAAGGTAGCATGGGAAGAAGAGGAAAAACAAGATGATAGAGGAAAAAGGAGTAGGAGGTGCTAAGACAGGGAAAAGGCGAGGAACGAAGGGTGATGACAGACGAAGAGTAGGAAGAGTGGAAGGCGATCAGGTAGGAAAAGGAAAGGAAGGAGGGAGGTCAGGAAGGAAAGGACAAATGTGAGGCAGTAAGGCAGGGAGGAGGGGCAGAAGGGGGGCAGTTGAGAGGAAACCTTACTTTGGGGTCCCGTGAGTGCTCTGGACATAGCACCTGGAGTCGTTTACAGTATGTCTTGCTCTGAGGATTGTAGACATCACAGAAGAGCCGAGTGGCCCTGGGGGTTTGGAGCAGAGGGAGAGTGGTGAGGGAGACGGAGAAGGTTCCACTTAAGCTTGCCCACACCACATCCCGCCCTGACCATTACTCCCCTCCTCTAACTCCACGTGGCACCCACACTCACCCCTCGATGCGTGTAGGGTACATGGACCCAAAGGACGTCTGGCTCTCATACTGGAGGAATGAGCACAAAAGGAAGGAACTGGATGTGGCTGCATCCTTCCCAGACAACAAATCTGTCCCCTCGGGGCCCACTGATGTTCCCACACCATCCGCCCCTTCAGAATGACACCCTAACCTTGGCATAGCAGCGTTCCATGTGGCGCAAGGCAACACGTGGGTTGATGGGGTGCCCACAGGAGACACAGAAGATCTGCAGGTCCGTGTCATCACTGTCACCCTCATTGCTCTGTATGGGGTTGAAGGAACGATGAGGCCAGGCAGGAACAGGTGCTGGGCCCTGCTGTGCTGCGCCCATGCTTGCTCACCTCCTCATCCTCGCGCACAGCCTGCTGCTTGGCCCGCAGAATGATGGCCTCGAGCTCGTGGAATCGGCGTTCCATTTCCTGAAGGCGGGTGCGGGCACTCTGCTGCTCACGGCGAATGCGTTCAAGCAGCTTCTTGCCATGCTCCTCAGCAATGCAAGGGCTCTGCTGCCACTGCTGGATGCGCTGGGGGAGGATCTCGTAGATGCGGCTGCAGGGAGACAGTGGGTGGGGTACAGGCAAGGAAGGTGGCGAGTAACAAGACAAGTGGGGTGATTAAAGGATGGCAGAGTGGATAGGTGACTGAATGGTGGAAACTGTAAGTGAATGGATAGATGAACTGATGGATAGGTGAGTAGACGAGTAGACAGATGTTTGGTTGAATGAATGGTGGATAGGTTATCGATTGGTAGACATACAGATGGCTCTTGTCATGCCCTACCCTGTACTCCGACCCCCTGAAATAACTCACTTGGCTGCCAACTTCATGCCACAGTCATCTGAGCAATACTTGGAGCCGGGCTGTGCAGGTCGCACACAACCAGGCCCCAGGCACTGCGGTAGAGATGCGGGGTCCTTGGCATCAGTCCGCTCTGGGTGTTTCCATTTGTCTTTGTGCTTCTGTTTTTGTCGATGTCGCTTGTATCTCTCCTCCTTCTACAGGGCAGGGCAGGTCAGGTCAGAGTGGAGTTGAAGTCAGTCCCAGACCCCACCATTCCACCCTTTCTGGCTCTTGCCCTGTTTAGGCCTGACATTTGCTTCCTTCCATCCCCGCCCTGGCCTCTGCCTTCCCATGCTTTAGTCCACCCTCTCCATCACCTTCTTCTCAGACTTCTTCTCCCGGCGCTTTACATGCTTCACTTTCACTGCTCTCTTCCGCAGCGCAGGATCCAGGAATGGAGACTCCTCTGTGTCACTCATCCAGGGCTGCAAGCAGGACATGCACTGACCCCTCCACCCCACTCATGAAAACCTTGCCACATACTCATTTCCCAAATCAGTCTTCCATACCCTCCGCCTTCTCTCTCTCTGCATTGTAACCTCCACCCTTCCACCATCAGAAACTCCTGCCTGCTCACCAGACCGTGGTCATCAAAGGCCCCCGCGCAGAAGTCCTGGTACAGGTCTGGGTCCAGTGGTAGGTCCTCATCTGAGAGTGGCTCAGGGGTGGCGGTAGCCTCAGGTGGCTCCTTGACTGCTGACGACACCACAGCCCCCTCGTCCTCACGGATGCGCCCCAGCTTCTGTGATGGCTGTGGCTGCTGCTGGGTAGGCAATGGCCGGCGGGGCCTTGGAAGGGGCTCTGAGGGCGTCACCGGCGAGAGCTGCGGGGCAGAATCTCAGGACTGGCCCCGACCGCCCTGCCCGCATGCCCCGTCCCACCCTGGGGGGCTGGACTCACCGAGGAAGGGAAGTACTTGTACGATTCCTGTGCCGGCAGGAGGAAGGCCCAGGTCAGCCCCAGGTGGATGGAAGTTGGCCCACCCACCTAGCCTTGCCATGCTTCCTCAGATACACTGGCCCCATCCCACCCACCAGAACCTGCTCAACCCTGCCCCACCTGCCTGACCACCTGGAAACACCTGGCCTCACCCTGCCCACTCAAACATACTCGGGGCTAAGGGACCTCCTGCCAGTCCAGCACATCTGGTCATGCCTCACCTATCTGGACATATCACACTCCTTCCCACCTGCCTGGATACAACCCAGCCCACCCATGCCTAAACTCAACCAACCTCTCCTGGGCACAATGTTCCCACCCAACCTGACCCTGCCCAGCTCCACCCATGCTCACCCGGGCCCGAAGTTGGCACTGGCGTAGCCGGCACTTCTGCCGGATCTTGTTGGGGCCTCCAAACTTCTTCATGTCCCGGCAGAAGTCACAGTGGCCACAGTCCTCAGTACGCCGGCATGCCTCGCACTCACCGCACATGCGGGCTGACCGTTTGATCTGCTGCTGCTGTTGCTGGTGATGCTGGGGGAGGTGCCAGGAACAGAAATCAGGAACCTACACAGGGCACAGGATGGAATCACCCTACCCAACCAGACCACCAGTCACTCACCTGGCTGGATGTGGGCACCAAGGGCTGTGGAGAGGCTTTGTGGGGTGAAGCAGAGCCCCGAGCAAGTATGGTCCCGACCCCTGTCCCAGACCCCACCCGGCGCTGCAGGTCTGGATCTGGGGCAGGCCTCTTGCGCCCTCCACCCTCATCCCGGGGCTCACTGCTGTCCCGCTCACTGCCATCCCGCTCCCGTGACTTCTTGTGCCGGTAGCGGATCTCCAGCTTGGGGTCCTTCTCTGTTGGGGGGAGGACGGGGCCACGGCAGTCCAGCATTGAGGGGGTTTGGATGGTCCCAGAACTTTTTCCTTATTTTCCTTTCCTTCTTATTCCACCCACCTGCTCCATTCCCCTGCTCCAGAAGAGAGCTGCTCCCTCCTGCAGGGCTCTCTATCATGGCTCACAGTGGAGCCCCAGTTCCAGCTCACCACAGACCAACAATTGCTCTGCCCATAAACACATCATCACTATTTCCCATGCCCCTCCCCCATTATGGTTCCCTCCTCCTCCTCGCCCCTTGAAGCCCCACATCCCTGCCCTGTCCATCCCACCCCCCTCACCTCGGCACTCCCGACAGTACCACTCCCGGATGGCCTTGGCCATCTTCTCAGTGATCCGGATGCAGTCCCCATGGAACCACTCATTGCAGTTGTCACACCCACTGCAGAGGATGGGGCAGGTGGTGGAGATGTGAGGGCCCAGCCCCATCAGCTTTACCCAATCTTGCCAGGTATCGACCCCACCCGCCTCTCCCTGGCTCACATCATGAAGCAGTTGATGTCTGGCTTGCGGCAGATGCAGTAGATGGGTGCATTCTCCCCATTCTCCGACTTGCTGTCCTCCCCAGCATCTGGTGGCTCTGGGTCTGAACCGTCCCCCTCCTGTAAGATCCCCCATTAAGACTCCTCAGAGAACCCCCAAAATGGCACCATATCCCCCTCATTACAAATCCATCACGGCTCACCACAGATACCCATCACTCTACTGAGAATTACCATTACGGCTCTCCATAAATCTCTCCACTATGGTCCTTATGAACCCAGCAGTGTTTCATTCTGTTGTACATACGGTCGCTATGAGTCGAAACCGACTCAACAGCACCTAACAACAACAACAACATGGTCCTTACAGACATCCCGTAACACCTCATTACTGCCTATAAAACCCTCTTCCTTCTACCCTAGACTTTCCATCACTCATGCCACTGACACCCCATGACTTTATCCACAAATCCTCATAAGGGCTCATCACAGGCACCCTAGTACTCCCCGTATACTGCCCCCCTCCAGGGCTCCCCAGACTTCCATCACAGGTTCTCACAGATTCCCCATGATTTACCACACAGACATCTCATCACGGTTCCCCAGTAACTCCTTCACGGTTCTCTACAGATTTCCCATTATTTACCCCACAGACCCTCATCACGCCGCACTACCGACCGTCCGACACGGCTCATCACAAACCCTTATCACTCTGCCCAAAAAAATCTCTCATCACGGTTCTTCACGGAACCGCCATCAGTCATCCCCGCTAACCTTCCATTTACGGACCCCTTCTGCCTCATCAAAGAACTTTCATCATGGCTCACCACAGACCTCCATCGTTCTTCCCAAAGAACCCTCTGAGGCTCACCACAGACCCCCATCATTCTGCCCACAGGCTCCCGTTATGGCTCACCACAGACCCCTACGCGTCTGCCGTCGGACTCCACCATTACCAACCCCGCCGACTTCTACCGCAGAACTCCTCCCTGGACCGGTACTCACCATATAGCCAGTTCCCACGTACCCGCTCGCAACCTCGGCCAGCCACCAGAGAACCTGCACAAACCACCCCACGGCGTCGCGGCGGTTGCAGATACGACTACAACCACTTCCGCTTCTGGTCGCGCCAATCGGGCACCGTACTCTATCACGCAGCTCCGTCGGCGACTCTGCGGCAAATAAGTTGTGCGCCGCCCTAGAGCCCTGAATGGCTCTCAGGCGCCGCCATCTTGACTACCGAGTCCGTAAGGTGATCGAGTCCGTAGGATCGCATGAAACACAACAGCGCCTATATCGCAGCTTTCTCGTAGGCGCTGCCACCTTGTCGGTCGAATCCGTACGTCAACCTCTTGTACTATATTGACGTTAGCAAGCAATATGGCTGCACCTACTACGCGACTTCCAGGAAGAAGCTGTAATCTTGAGGAGTCTGATTCCGTAAGGTGGCCTGGTTCATACATTCACAGGCAACATGGCAGCGCTGTAATCTCGACTACAGCAAGGGGGCCGCCATATTGGCAGTTAATGCCGTACCACGACTGTTTATAGTTCACAGGCCAAGAGGCCGCTGACGAAAACAGATTTCGGTCAAGGCTTTCATTCATTCCTCCACTCAATCACTTTTCCTTTCCACGTGCATTAATGGGGCGCCAACAGGCTATGTGCCTCGCGCTAGGAAGGAAGTCAGTCCTCCTTGTTGTGTCTCCGACTTCACCTCACCACTGTTTCCTCCTTCACTCTTCCTGGCTATTCCTCCAACTAGCCAGAGGCGGGCCAGCCTCCCCGTCCTTTGCTCTTTATACAGGAACATTCTCACTCTGATGGCGCAGTGGTTAAAGCGCTCGACTGCTAACCTAAAAGTCAGCAGTTCAGCTGTCAAAGCTTAAAATTAAGAACAAACTCTGTAAAGAGAGATGTAAAAATGGCGTTGCGGGGGTGTTTGACCTCCTCTAACTTCAAAAGGGGGAAGGCGAATCAAGATCAACAGTCAAGGCTGATTCCTATAAGGTGGAGGTCAGACATGCCTCCACCCTCCAACCTTTTTACCAATTCTGACACCAACTGTCCCTCCCAGGACACTCCTTACTTCTCTGCTGGGTTCGATAATTTGTAGCAACGGCCACACAGAACTCACAGATAATTCAGGTTCATGAACAGTCAGGACACAGTTCTTCCATGAGAACAGCTTCTTCTCACCCTCTTTGGCCTCTGGCCTCTGCCCTGCTCAGGCAAGTGTTACAAAGCTCTTTTAGCTCTGTTGATAAGTGCCTAGAGGCACCCTACTCTGCCAGTAAGCCTTGTGCCTGAAGGCATTCAGCTCTAGCTCCTTTGGCTGGGAAGCCCCACCACAGCCTTCTCCCGCTGGTCTCCTGATTCCTGCCATCTTGTGAGTTTCTCACTGTCTTCTGTGTTACAGCTCCTCTCTCTGTCTCCTGGATCTAGGAAGGTCTCAGCTCAGGGATCTCAGATCCAAAGGATACCCTCTGCTCCTGGCTCTTCTATCTTGGTGGTGGTGAAATCCTCTTCTAGCCTCTGGGATGGCTCATTTTAAGCCTAGAAAACAAAACAAAACAAAACCCATTTCCATCAAGGCGATTCCAACTCATAGTGACCCTATAGGACAGAGTAGAGCTGCCCCATAGAGTGTCCAAGGAGTGCCTGGTGGATTTGAGCTGCCAACCTTTTGGTTAGCAGATGTAGCTCTTAACCACTACGCCACCAGGGTTTCCCTTAAGCCTAGAGGGATGGCAAAATTGACCAATTCCCTCATTAGGGTGCCATATTCCTTATTTGCATAATCCCACCCACACAAGGGTGCCATACACATTATTTACATTATTAGCAAGCGTTTCAATCCCTTTGGTGGGACACAAGCACCTCATCTGCATAGTCCCATCAGTCATTTGATGGGAGTTCCAAAAACTATGGCTAGAAGGGCCATGTTAAGTAATTCACTGCACCGCAAGAGAACAATAGAGTTTTATTGAGGACTAGAACAGTTCAAACCAGGTGGCGCAAAGTGCTCCAAAGGGGTTAGGTAGAGAGGGATTTTTGTATATAGTTTAGAGAAACAAACAAATCTTCACATCAGCTTATCTATTTTAACATTCTTTCTGAGAAAGATCTGAATAAGCAATCTTTCAAAGAAGAGTCACAAGGCCCCCTCCCTAGGTAACATTTTGCCATATGTTTAACTACATTCTTGCTCCCTCCTTGATTGCTCGAGTAAGGTAGTTAAAACTTTACAAGAGTGGAAAATTCCATGCACAGTCTAAAAGTAGAAGTGGAGGTTAGGAACAAAATGGAGTCTGATTCAAACCTGTGTCAGCCACCTCGGTTATGCCAAACACTTCAGATTTTTAGGGTGCACTCACACAGAGCTCACCAGGAGCTCCATGGGAGGAAGATGTGGCATTCTGCTTCCATAAAGATTTACTGCCTTGGAAACCCCATGAGGCAGTTCTACTCTGTCCTATAGGGTTACTATGAGTTGGAATTGACTCAATGGCAACGGATTAGGTTTTGGTTGTTCTTACCCTCAAGATCAATTATGAGCAGTGATGGAAGATCTTAAATTATGGTGGCAGTGGGTCCTGTTGAGAAGTGGCCAGATCAGAAGTAGATTTTGAAGTCACAGATGTCCACTTTGATTCTCTAGTTTAATTGGGGTTTGCCAATATTCTCTTGAAGCCCTGGTGGCATAGTGGTTAAGAGCACAGCTGCTAGCCAAAAGTTTGGCAGTTCAAATCCTTCAGCCACTCCTTGGAAACCCTATGGGGCAGTTCTATTCTGTCCTATAGGGTCGCTACAAGTCGGAACTGACTCGACGGCAATGGGTTTTTAATATCTCTCCTGTAAAGACAATTTTTTTTTACTTTTCCACTTAAATTGGGTACAATATTCCTCAAAAAACCAAAAATAGAACTACCATATAACTCAGCAATCCAACTGCTAGGAATATACCCAAAGGACTTGAAAGCAGTTACTCAAACAGACATATGTAAACCAGTGCTCACTGCAGCACTATTCACAATAGCCAAAAGGTGGAAACAACCTAAATGCTCATCAGTCAATGAATGGATAAACAAAATGTAGTACATACGTACAATGGGATACAACTTGTCTTAGTCATCTAGTGCTGCTGTAACAGAAATACCACAAGCGAATGGCTTTAACAAAGAGAAATTTATTCTTCACAGTTTACCCATTGCCGTCGAGTTGATATCGACTCATAGCAACCTTATAGGACAAAGTAGAGCTGCCCAATAGAGTTCCCAAGGAGCGGCTTGTGGATTCAAACTGCCAACCTTTTGGTTAGCAGCCTGAGCAGTTAACCACAGTTTAGGAGGCTAGAAGTCCAAATTCAGGGTGCCAGCTCTAGGGAAAGACTCTCTCTTTCTGTTGGTTCTGGGGGAAGATCCTCATCATCAATCTTCCCCTGGTCTAGGAGCTTCTCAGTGCAGGGATCCTGGGTCCAAAGGACACACTCTGCTCCTGGCACTACTTTCTTGGTAGTATGAGATCCCCCTGTCTCTCTGCTTGCTTCTCTGTTCTGTGTCTCAAAGAAGATTGACTCAAAATACAACCTAATCTTGTAGATTATGTCCTGCCTTGCTAACATACTTGCCGCTAAACCTGCCTCATTAACGTCATAAAGGTAGGATTTACAACACATAGGAAAATCATATCAGATGACAAAATGGTGGACAATCACACAATACTGGGAATCATGGCCTAGCCAAGTTGACACACATTTATTTGGTGGACACAATTTAGTCCATAACACTACTCAACCAGAAAGAAAAATGATGTCCTGATACATGCTTATGGTGTGATGGATCACTTATACATAGCTTTTCTCATCATGGTCTTATAACTCCCACCAAATGTTTGGGTGGGACTACACAAATAAAGTGCTTGTGGCTCACCAAGGGGATTGGATAGCTTGCTAATAATACAAATAAGATGCATGGCAACCTTGTGGGGGTGGGAACATGCAAATAGGGTGTATGGAACCCTAACAAGAGGATTGGTAGGTTTTGCCATCCCACTGGGCTTAAAATGAGCCATCCCAGAGGCGGAAGAGGAGACCTTACTACCACCAAGAAGAGATGGGAGCAGAGCACATCCTTTGGACCTGGGATCCCCACGCTTAGAGCCTTCTAGACCTAGGAGATAGACAGAGAACTGTAACACTGGAGATGGTGCAAGACTGTGAGAAGGAGTAGCAGAACCAGGAGACTTGTGTGAGATGAGGCAGTAGACTTCCTGGCCCAGGGAGCAAGGCAGTTACAGTCAGTGTGCCAACCCACAGAGTGAGAGAGCTGAACACCTTTGGGCAGACTTGCTGGCAAAGTGGGGTTTGTTTGGGCCCTTGTCATTGGAGCTAGGCTTGCTGACCCATGGAGCTAGAGAGCTAAGTGCCTTTGGACTGAGACTTACTGGTGGAGTAGGGGGCTTTGGGGCACTTATGGGTAGAGCTGAAAAGCTTTGTGACACTTGCCCAAGCAGGGTAGAGGTGAGGCCAAGGCTGAGGGGCTGAGGGCCAGAGAGAGGCCTGTCTGCGGGCATGGCTGAGAAGAAACTGTCCTCACTGAAGAACTGTGTCCTGAGTCATTCCTGATCCTGAATTGTAACCTGTTACTTCCCTAATAAATCCCATAATCATAAGTATTGTCTGTGAGTTCTGTGTGGCCATTACAATGAATTATCAAACCCAGCAGAGACATAGTGCCATGGGAAGGATGGCTGGTGTCAGAATTGGTAACAAGATTGGAAACAGGAGGTATGTCTGACCTGTACCTCATAGGAATCAGCCTTGGGCTGCTGATGCTGATAGTGATTCTCCTTCCCCCTTGTGAAGTTAGAGAAGGTCAGACACCTCCACCCCACTGTTTTGACAATGCTACAACATGGATGGAGCTTGAAGACATTATGTTGGTGAAATAAGTCAATCACAAAAGGACAAATATTGTATGAACTCATTTATATAAAAAGAAAACAGCAGGCAAATGTATCGAGACTGAAATTTATTAGTGGTTACAGGGGCGGGAGGGAGGGGGAAAGGGGAAGTTTTTGATTATGGAGTAGAGAGTTTTTGTTTATGGTGATGAAAAATTCACATTGATTAAGGGTAATGGTTGCACAGCCAATTAATGTAATTGATACCAGTAAGTTGTAAACCTGTAAAAAGTTGAATTGGCAAATGTTGTATAATAGATATTTTCACAAAAAACAAAAACAAGAGCAGCTGCTGAGGTTTCTTATGTACAGCCAAACATTGCATGAGATTTGGTTCCTTGGTTTGGAGGTTTAGGGCCATGGTTTCATGGGACAACCCT